GTCCAGGAGCTTGCCTGGTCCACGAGCCTGCCTGGTCCAAGGGCTTGCCTGGTCCAAGAGCGTGCATGGTCCACGAGCGTGCCTGTTCGAGCAGCTTGCGTGGTCCAGGAGCTTGCCAGGTCCAGGAGCTTGCCTGGTCCAAAAGCTTGCTTGGTCCAGAAGCCTGCCCGGTCCAAGAGCTTGCGTGGTCCAGGAGCGTGCCTGGTCCAAGAGCTTGCGTGGTCCAGGAGCTTTCGTGGTCCAGAAGCTTGCCTGGTCCAGGAGCTTGCCTGGTCCAGGAGCTTGCCTGGTCCAGGAGCTTGCCTGATCCAGGAGCTTGCCTGGTCCACGAGACTTCCTGGTCCAAGAGCTTGCCTGGTCTAGGAGCTTGCCTGGTCCAGGAGCTTGCCTGGTCCACGAGCCTTCGTGGTCCAAGAGCTCGCCTGGTCCAATAGCGTGCATGGTCCACGAGCGTGCCTGGTCCAGGAGCTTGCCTGGTCCAGGAGCTTGCCTGGTCTAGGAGCGTGCCTTGTCCAAGAGCGTGCCTGGTCCAGGAGCTCTGGTCCACGAGCTTGCCTGGTCCAGGAGCTTGCCTGTTCCAGGAGCGTGCCTGGTCCACGAGCTTGAAGGGTCGAGGAGCTTGCTTGGTCTAGGAGCTTTCCTGGTCCATCAGCATTCCTAGTTCAAGAGCTTGCGATGTCCAGGAGCTTGCCTGGTCCAGGAGCTTGCATATTCCAGGAGCTTGCCTGGTCCAGGAGCTTGCCTGGTCCAAGAGTTTGCCTGGTCCACAAGCGTGCCTGGTCCAAGAGCTCGCTTGGGCCAGAAGCTTGCCTGGTCCAGGAGCTTGCCCAGTCCAAGAGCTTGCATGGTCCACGAGCTTGCCTGGTCCAGGAGCATGCCTGGTCCAGGAGCATGCCTTGTCCAGGAGCATGCCTGGTCCAGGAGCATGCGTGGTCCAGGAGCTTGCCTGGTCCAGGAGCTTGCATGGTCCAAGAGCTTGCCTGGTTTAGGAGCTTGCCTAGTCTAGGAGCTTGCCTGGTCCAAGAGCTTGCCTGGTCCAGGAGCTTGCCTGGTCAAAGAGCTTGCCAAGTCCAAGAGCATGCCTGGTCCAAGAGCTTGTCTGGTCCACGAGCTTGCCTGGTCCACGAGCTTGCCTAGTCCAGGTGCTTGCCTGGTCCACAAGCTTGCCTGGTCCAGGTGCTTGTCGGGTCCAGGAGCTTGCTTGGTCTAGGAGCGTGCCCGGTCCGGGAGCGTGCTTGGTCCAGGAGCTTGCCTAGTCCAGGAGCTTGCCTGGTCCAGGAGCTTGACTGGTCCAAGAGCTTGCCTGGTCGAGGAGCTTGCCTGGTCCAGGAGCTTGCCTTGTATTGGAGCTTGCATGGTCTGGGAGCTTCCCTGGTCAAGGAGTTTGCCTGGTCCAGGAGCTTGCTTGGTCCAGGAGCTTGCCTGGTCCATGAGCGTGCCTGGTATAGGAGCGTGCCTGGTCCAGGATCTTGCCTGGTAGAGGAGCTTGCCTAGTCCAGGAGCTTGCCTGGTCCAGGAGCGTGCCTGGTCGACGAGCTTGCCTAGTCCAGAAGCTTGCCTAGTCCACAAGCTTGCCTGGTGAAGGAGCTTGCCTGGTCCATGAGCTTGCTTGGTCCAGGAGTGTTCCTGGTCCAGGAGTGTGCCTGGTCCAAGAACTTGCCTGGTCCAAGAGCTTGCCTGGTCAAGGAGCTTGCCTCGTCCAAGAGCTGGCCTGGTCCAGGAGCTTGCCTGGTCCAAGAGCTTGCCTGGTCCACGAGCTTGCCTGGTCCAGGAGCTTGCTTGATCTAGGAGCCTGGCTAGTCCAGTAGCTTGCCTGTTCCAGAAGCGTGCCTGGTCCAAGAGCTTGCCTTGTCCAGGAGCTTGCCTGGTCCAACACCTTGCCTGGTCCAAGAGCTTGCCTCGTCTAGGAGCTTGCCTGGTCCAAGAGTGTGCCTCGTCCAGGAGCTTGCTTGTTCCAGAAGCTTGCGTGGTCCAAGAGCTTGCCTGGTTCAGGAGCGTGCCTAGTCCAAGAGCTTGCCTGGTCTAGGAGCTTGTTTAGTCCAGGAGCGTGCCTGGTCCACGAGCTTGCCTGTTCAAGGAGCTTGCCTTGTCCAGGAGCTTGCCTGGTCCAGGAGCTTGCCTGGTCAAGGAGCTGGCCTGGTCCAGGAGCTTGCCTGGTCCAAGTGCTTGCCTCGTCCAAGAGCTTGCGTGGTCTAGGAGCTCGCCTAGTCCAGGAGCTTGCCTCGTCCATGTGCGTGCCTGGTCCACGAGTTTGCTTGGTCCAGGAGCTTGCCTGGTCCAGGAGCTTGCCTGGTCCAGGAGCGTGCCTTGTCCTAGAGCTTGCGTGTTCCAGGAGGGTGTCTGCTCCTGGAGCTTGCCTTGTCCAGGAGCTTTCTTGGTCCATTAGCTTGCCTGGTCCAGGAGCTTACTTGGTCCAGGAGCTTTCCTGGTCCAAGAGCTAGCCTGGTCCAGGAGCTTGCCTGGTCCAGGAGCTTGCATGTTCCAAGAGCTTGCCTGGTCTAGGAGCATGCCTGGTCCAAGAGCTTGCCTGGTCCAAGAGCTTTCCTGGTCTAGAAGCTTGCCTGGTCCACGAGCTTGCCTTGTCGAGGAGCTAGCTTGGTCCTGAAGCCTGCCTGATCCAAGAGCTTGCCTGGTCCAATAGCGTGCCTGGTCCAAGAGCTTGCGTGGTCCACGAGCTTGCCTGGTCCAGGAGCTTGCCTGGTCGAAGAGCGTGCCTGGTCCACGAGCTTGCGTGGTCCAGGACCTTGCCTGGTCTAGGAGCTTGCCTGGTCCAGGAGCGTACCTGGTCCACGAGCTTGCCTGATCCAGGAGCGTACGTGGTCCTGGAGCGTGCCTAGTCCACGAGCGAGCTTGGTCCAGGAGCTTGCCGGGTACAAAAGCATGCCTAGTTCACGAGCTTGCCTGGTCCAGGAGCTTGTTTGGTCCAGGAGCTTGCTTGGTCCAGAGCCTGCCTGGTCCAAGAGCTTGCCTGGTCCAGGACTGTGCCTAGTCCAAGAGCTTGTGTGGTCTAGGAGCTTGCCTGGTCCATAAGCGTGCCTGGTCCAGGAGCTTGCCTGGTCCCGGAGCTTGCCTGGTCCCGGAGCTTGCGTTGTCTAGGAGCTTGCCTGGTCCAGGAGCTTGCCTGGTCCAAGAGCTTGCCTTGTCCAAGAGCTTGCGTGGTCCAGGAGCTTGCCTGGTCTAGGAGCTTGCCTGGTCCAGGAGCTTGCCTGGTCAAGGAGGTTGCCTTGGCCAGGAGCTTGCCTGGTCCAGGAGCGTGCCTGGTCTACGAGTTTGCCTGGTCCAGAAGCTTGCCTGGTCCAGGAGCTTGCCTGGTCTAGGAGCTTGCATGGTCCAGGAGCGTGCCTAGTCGAGGAGCTTGCCTGGTCCAGGAGCTATCCTGGTCCAGAAGCTTGCCTGGTATAGGAGCTCGCCTGTTCCAGGAGCGTGCCTGGTCTAGTAGCTTGCCTTCTCCAGGAGCTTTCTTGGTCCGTTAGCTTGCCTCGTCCAGGAGCTTGCCTGGTCCAGGAATTTTCCTGGTCCAAGAGGTTGCCTGGTCCAGGAGCTTGCTTGGTCTAGGAGCTTGCCTGGTCCAGGAGCGTGCCTGATCCACGAGCTTGCCTGGTCCAAGAGCGTGCCTGGTCCAGTAGTGTGCCTGGTCCATGAGCGAGCCTGGTCCAAGAGCTTGCCTGGTCCTGGAGCTTGCCTGGTCCAGGAGCTTGCGTGGTCCAGGAGCTTGCCTTGTCCACGAGCCTGCCTGGTCCAAGAGCTTGCCTGGTCCAGGAGCGTGCATGGTCCACGAGCGTGCCTCGTCTAAGAGCTTGCCTGGTCCAGGAGCTTGCCTGGTCAAGGAGCTTGCCTGGTCCAGGAGCTTGATTGGTCCACGAGCCTTCCTGGTCCAAGAGCTTGCCTGGTCCAAGAGCATGCATGGTCCATGAGCGTGCCTGGTCCAGGATCTTGCCTGGTCCAGGAGCTTGCCTGTTCCAGGAGCTTGCCTTGTCCAAGAGCTTGCTTGGTCCAGAAACCTGCCCAGTCCAAGAGCTTGCTCGGTCCAATAGCATGCCTGGTCCACGAGCGTGCGTGGTCCAGGAGCTTGACTGGTCCAGGAGCTTGCATGGTCCAGGAGCTTGCCTTGTCCAAGAGCTTGCTTGGTCCAGAAACCTGCCCAGTCCAAGAGCTTGCGTGGTCTAGGAGCTTGCCTGGTCGAGGACCTTGCATGGTCCAGGAGCTTGCCTGGTCCAGGAGCTTGCCTGGTCCAATAGCTTGCGTGGTCTCGGAGCTTGCCTGGTCCACGAGCTTGCCTGGTCTAGGAGCTTGCCTTGTCTAGGAGCTTGCCTGGTCCAGGAGCGTGCCTGGTCCACGAGTTTGCCTGGTCCAGGAGCTTGCCTGGTCTAGGAGCTTGCATGGTCTAGGAGCGTGCCAGGTCCCGGAGCTTGCCTGGTCCAGTAGCTATCCTAGTCTAGGAGCTTGCCTGGTCCAGGAGCTTGCCTGTTCCACGAGCGTGCCTGGTCCAGGAGCTTGCCTTGTCCAGGAACTTTCTTGGTCGATTAGCTTGTCTGGTCCAGGAGCTTGCCTGGTCCAGGAGCTTTCCTGGTTCAAGAGCTTGCCTGGTCTAGGAGCTTGCCTGGTCCAGGAGCTTGCCTGGTCCAGGAGCGTGCCTGATCCACGAGCTTGCCTGGTCCACGAGCGTTCCTGGTCCACGAGCGAGCCTGGTCCAGGAGCTTGCGTGGTTTAGGAGCTTGCCTGGTCCACGAGCCTGCTTGGTCCAAGAGCTTGCCTGGTCAAGGAGCGTGCATGGTCCGCGAGCGTGCCTGGTCCAGGAGCTTGCCTGGTATAGGAGCTTGCGTGATCAAGGAGCTTGCCTGGTCCACGAGCTTGCCTGGTCCAAGAGCTTGCCTGGTCCACGAGCCTGCCTGGTCCAAGAGCTTGCCTGGTCCAGGAGCTTGCCTGGTCCAGGAGCTTGCGTGGTCCAAGAGCTTGGTCGAGAAGCCTGCCTGCTCCAAGAGCTTCCCAGGTCCAGGAGCATGCCTGGTCCAAGAGCTTGGGTAGTCCAGGCGCTTGCCTTGTCCAGGAGCTTGCCTAGTCCAGGAGCTTGCCTGGTCCAGGAGCTTGCCTGGTCCAAGAACTTGCCTGGTCCAAGAGCTTGCCTGGTCTAGGAGCTTGCCTGGACGTGGACGTGGACGTGAACGTGGACGTGGACGTGGACGTGGACGTGGTCGTGGACGTGGACCTGGACGTGGACATGGACGTGGACGTGGACGTGGACCTGGACGTGGACGTGGACGTGGACGTGGACGTGGACGAGGACGTGGACGTGGTCGTGGACGTGGACGTGGACGTGGACGTGGACGTGGACGACATGGACATGGACATGGACGTGGACGTGGATGTGGACGTGGACATGGAGGTGGACGTGGACGTGGACATGGAGGTGGACATGGACGTGGACGTGGACGTGGACGTGGACGTGGACATGGACGTGGACGTGGACGTGGACGTGGACATGGACGTGGACATGGACGTGGACATAGACGTGGACATGGACGTGGACATGGACGTGGACATGGACGTGGACGTGGACGTGGACGTGGACGTGGACGTGGACCTGGACGTGGACATGGACGTGGACATGGACGTGGACATGGACATGGACATGGACATGGACATGGACGTGGACGTGGACGTGGACATGGACGTGGACGTGGACGTGGACGTGGACGTGGACGTGGACGTGGACATGGACGTGGACATGGACATGGACGTGGACGTGGACATGGACGTGGACATGGACATGGACGTGGACATGGACATGGACGTGGACGTGGACATGGACGTGGACGTGGACGTGGACGTGGACTTGGACGTGGACGTGGACGTGGACATGGACATGGACGTGGACATGGACGTGGACGTGGACGTGGACGTGGACGTGGACATGGACATGGACATGGACATGGACGTGGACATGGACGTGGACGTGGATATGGACGTGGACGTGGACGTGGACGTGGACGTGGACGTGGACGTGGACGTGGACGTGGTCGTGGACGTGGACGTGGACGTGGACGTGGTCGTGGACGTGGACGTGGACATGGACGTGGACATGGACATGGACATGGACGTGGAGGTGCACGTGGACGTGGACGTGGACGTGGACGTGGACGTGGTAGTGGACGTGGACGTGGACGTGGACGTGGACGTGGACGTGGACGTGGACGTGGACTTGGACGTGGACGTGGACATGGTCGTGGACGTGGACGTGGACATGGACGTGGACATGGACGTGGACGTGGACATGGACCTGGACGTGGACGTGGACGTGGTCGTGGATGTGGACGTGGACATGGACATGGACGTGGACGTGGACGTGGTCGTGGACGTGGACGTGGTCGTGGACGTGGACTTGGACGTGGACGTGGACGTGGACGTGGACATGGACGTGGACGTGGACGTGGACGTGGACGTGGACTTGGACGTGGACGTGGACGTAGACGTGGACGTGGACGTGGACGTGGACGTGGACGTGGACGTGGACATGGACGTGGACTTGGACGTGGACGTGGACGTGGACATGGACGTGGACGTGGACGTCGACGTGGACGTGGACATGGACGTGGTTGTGGACGTGGACGTGGACATGAACGTGGACGTGAACGTGGACGTGGACGTGGACGTGGTCGTGGACGTGGACGTGGATGTGGACATGGACGTGGACGTGGACGTGGACGTGGACGTGGACTTGGACGTGGACATGGACGTGGACGTGGACGTGGACGTGGACGTGGACGTGGACGTGGACGTGGGCGTGGACGTGGACATGGGCGTGGTCGTGGACGTGGGCGTGGACATGGACGTGGACGTGGTCGTGGACGTGGGCGTGGACGTGGACATGGACGTGGGCGTGGACGTGGACGTGGACGTGGACATAGACGTAAACGTGGACATGGACGTGGACATGGACGTGGGCGTGGACGTGGGCGTGGACGTGGACGTGGACGTGGACGTGGACGTGGACGTGGGCGTGGACGTGGACGTGGACATGGACGTGGACGTGGACGTGGACGTGGTCGTGGACGTGGTCGTGGACATGGACGTGGACATGGACGTGGACGTGGACATGGACGTGGACATGCACATGGACGTGGACGTGGACATGGACATGGACATGGACGTGGACGTGGACGTGGACGTGGACGTGGACGTGGACGTGGTCGTGGACGTGGACGTGGTCGTGGACGTGGACGTGGACGTGGTCGTGGACGTGGACGTGGTCGTGGACGTGGACGTGGACGTGGACGTGGACGTGGACGTGGACGTGGTCGTGGACGTGGACGTGGACGTGGACGTGGACGTGGACATGGACGTGGACATGGACGTGGACATGGACGTGGATGTGGACGTGGACGTGGACGGGGACGGGGACGTGGACGCGGACGTGGACGTGGACGTGGACGTGGACGTGGACAGGGACGTGGACGCGGACGTGGACGTGGACAGGGACGTGGACGCGGACGCGGACGTGGACAGGGACGTGGACGTGGACGTGGACGCGGACGTGGACGGGGACGGGGACGTGGACGTGGACATGGACGTGGACGCGGACGTGGACGCGGACAGGGACGTGGACGCGGACGTGGACGTGGACGTGGACGTGGACGTGGACAGGGACGCGGACGTGGACGTGGACGTGGACCTGGACGTGGACGCGGACGTGGACGTGGACGGGGACGTGGACGTGAACGTGGACGTGGACGCGGACGTGGACGCGGACGTGGACGTGGACAGGGACGTGGACGTGGACGTGGACAGGGACGTGGACGGACGTGGACGTGGACGTGGACCTGGACGTGGACATGGACGTGGACGTGGTCGTGGACGTGGGCGTGGACGTGGACGTGGACGTGGTCGTGGACGTGGACGTGGACGTGGACGTGGACATGGACATGGACGTGGACGTGGACATGGACGTGGGCGTGGACGTGGACGTGGACGTGGACGTAGACGTGGACATGGACGTGGGCGTGGACGTGGACGTGGACGTGGACGTGGACGTGGACGTTGACGTGGACGTGGACGTGGACGTGGACGTGGACGTGGACGTGGACATGGACATGGACATGGACGTGGACGTGGACGTGGACATGGACGTGGACGTGGACGTGGACATGGACGTGGACGTGGACGTGGACGTGGACGTGGACATGGACGTGGACGTGGACGTGGACGTGGACGTGGACGTGGACGTGAACGTGGACATGGACGTGGACGTGGACGTGGACGTGGACGTGGTCGTGGACGTGGACGTGGACGTGGACATGGTCGTGGACGTGGACGTGGACGTGGACTTGGACGTGGACATGGACGTGGACGTGGACGTGGACGTAGACGTGGACGTGGGCGTGGACGTGGACATGGACGTGGTCGTGGACGTGGGCGTGGGCGTGGACGTGGACATGGACATGGACATGGACGTGGACCTGGACGCGGACGTGGACGTGGACAGGGACGTGGACGCGGACGTGGACGTGGACAGGGACGCGGACGCGGACGTGGACAGGGACGTGGACGCGGACGTGGACGTGGACAGGGACGTGGACGCGGACGTGGACGTGGACGTGGACGTGGACGTGGAGGACTTGGACGTGGACGTGGACGTGGACGTGGACGTGGACGTGGACATGGACGTGGACGTGGACGTGGACGAGGACAGGGACGTGGACGCGGACGTGGACGTGGACGTGGACGGGGACGTGGTCGTGGAGGACTTGGACATGGACGTAAACGTGGACGTGGACGTGGACATGGGCATGGAGGTGGACGTGGAGATGGACGTGGACATGGAGATGGACGTGGACATGGACAAGGACGTGGACATGAACGTGGACGTGGACGTGGACGTGGACGTGGACATGGACGTGGACGTGGACGTGGACGTGGACGTGGACATGGACTTGGAGGTGGACGTGGACGTGGAAGTGGACGTGGACGTGGACGTGGACATGGACGTGGACGTGGACATGGACGTGGACGTGGACATGGACGTGGACATGGACGTGGACGTGGAGGTGGACGTGGACGTGGACGTGGTCGTGGACGTGGACGTGGACGTGGACGTGGACATGGACATGGACGTGGACGTGGACTTGGACGTGGTCGTGGACGTGGACGTGGACGTCGACATGGACGTCGACATGGACGTCGACATGGACCGACATGGACGTGGACGTGGACGTGGACATGGACGTGGACATGGACATGGACGTGGACATGGACGTGGACGGACGTGGACGTGGACGTGGACGTGGACGTGGACGTGGATGTGAACGTGGACATGGACGTGGACGTGGACGTGGACTTGGACGTGGACTTGGACCTGGACGTGGACATGGACGTGGACATGGACGTGGACATGGACATGGACGTGGACGTCGACATGGACATGGACATGGACATGGATGTGGACATGGACGTGGACGTGGACGTGAACGTGGAGTGGACATGGACGTGGACGTGGACATGGACGTGGACATGGACATGGACATGGACGTGGACGTGGACGTGGACGTGGACGTGGACATGGACGTGGACGTGGACGTGGACGTGGACTTGGACGTGGACGTGGCCGTGGACGTGGACTTGGACGTAAACGTGGACGTGGACATGGACATGGACGTGGACGTGGACGTGGACGTGGACGTGGACATGGACATGGACATGGACGTGGACGTCGACATGGACGTGGACGTGGACGTGGACGTGGACATGGACGTGGACGTGGACATGGACGTGGACGTGGACGTGGACGTGGTCGTGGACGTGGACGTGGACGTGGACGTGGACATGGACGTGGACGTGGTCGTGGACGTGGACGTGGTCGTGGACGTGGTCCTGGACGTGGACGTGGTCGTGGACGTGGACATGGACGTGGACGTGGTCGTGGACGTGGACGTGGACGTGGACGTGCACATGGACGTGGACGTGGACGTGGACGTGGACGTGGTCGTGGACGTGGACGTGGACATGGACGTGGACATGGACGTGGACATGGACGTGGACATGGACATGGACGTGGATGTGGATGTGCACGTGGACGTAGACGTGGACGTGGACGTGGACGTGGACATGGACGTGAACGTGGTCGTGGACATGGACGTGGACGTGGACATGGACGTGGACATGGACATGGACGTGGACGTGGACGTGGACATAGACGTGGACGTAGACGTGGACGTGGACGTGGAAGTGGACGTGGACGTGGACGTGGACATGGACGTGGAGATGGACGTGGACGTGGACGTGGACTTGGACGTGGACGTGGACGTGGACGTGGACGTGGACGGGGTCATGGACGTGGACATGGACGTGGACGGAGACGTGGACGCGGACATGGACGTGGACATGGACGTGGACATGGACGTGGACATGGACATGGACATAGACGTGGACGTGGACGTGGACGTGGACGTAGACATGGACATGGACATGGACATGGACGTGGACATGGACGTGGACGTGGACGTGGACGTGGACGTGACATGGACGTGGACGTGGACGTGGACATGGACGTGGACGTGGACGTGGACGTGGACGTGGACATGGACATGGACGTGGACGTGGACGGAGACGTGGACGCGGACATGGACGTGGACGTGGACGTGGACGTGGACGTGGACATGGACGTGGACGTGGACGTGGACGTGGACGTGGACGTGGACGTGGACGTGGACGTGGTCGTGGACGTGGACGTGGACGTGGACGTGCACATGGACATGGACGTGGACGTGGACGTGGACGTGGTCGTGGACGTGGACGTGGAGGTGGACATGGACGTGGACATGGACGTGGACGTGGACGTGCACGTGGACGTGGACGTGGGCGTGGACGTGGAGGTGGACGTGGACGTGGACGTGGACATGGTCGTGGACGTGGACTTGGACGTGGACGTGGACGTGGACGTGGACGTGGACTTGGACGTGGACGTGGACGTGGACGTGGACGTGGACGTGGACGTGGACATAGACATGGACGTGGTCATGGACGTCGACGTGGACATGGACGTGGACGTGGACGTGGACGTGGACGTGGACGTGGACATGGACGTGGACATGGACGTGGACGTGGACATGGACATGGACGTGGACGTGGACATGGACGTGGACGTGGACGTGGACGTGCACGTGGACATGGACGTGGACATGGACGTGGACATGGACGTGGACGTGGACGTGGACGTAGACGTGGACGTGGACGTGGACGTGGACATGGACGTGGACGTGGACGTGGACGTGGACGTGGGCGTGGACGTGGACGTGGACATGGACGTGGGCGTGGGCGTGGACGTGGACGTGGACGTGGGCGTGGACGTGGACATGGACGTGGTCGTGGACGTGGGCATGGACATGGACGTGGACGTGGCCATGGACGTGGACGTGGACGTGGACGTGGACATAGACGTGGGCGTGGACGTGGACGTGGACGTGGACATGGACGTGGACGTGGACATGGACGTGGACGTGGACGTGGACATGGACGTGGACGTGGGCGTGGACGAAGACGTGGACGTGGACGTGGACATGGACGTGGACGTGGACGTGGACGTGGACGTGGACGTGGACGTGGACGTGGACATGGACGTGGACGTGGACGTGGACGTGGACGTGGACGTGGACATGGACGTGGACGTGGAGGACTTGGACATGGACGTGGACGTGGACGTGGACGTGGACATGGGCATGGAGGTGGACGTGGAGATGGACGTGGACATGGAGATGGACGTGGACATGGACAAGGACGTGGACATGAACGTGGACGTGGAAGTGGACGTGGACGTGGACGTGGACATGGACGTGGACGTGGACATGGACTTGGAGGTGGACGTGGACGTGGAAGTGGACGTGGACGTGGACGTGGACATGGACGTGGACGTGGACATGGACGTGGACGTGGACATGGACGTGGACATGGACGTGGACGTGGAGGTGGACGTGGACGTGGACGTGGTCGTGGACGTGGACGTGGACGTGGACGTGGACATGGACGTGGACGTGGACGTGGACTTGGACGTGGTCGTGGACGTGGACGTGGACGTCGACATGGACGTCGACATGGACGTGGACATGGACCGACATGGACGTGGACGTGGACGTGGACATGGACGTGGACATGGACATGGACGTGGACATGGACGTGGACGGACGTGGACGTGGACGTGGACATGGACGTGGACGTGGATATGAACGTGGACATGGACGTGGACGTGGACGTGGACTTGGACGTGGACTTGGACCTGGACGTGGACATGGACATGGACATGGACATGGACGTGGACGTGGACGTGGACGTGGACGTGGACATGGACATGGACATGGACATGGATGTGGACATGGACGTGGACGTGGACGTGGACGTGGAGTGGACATGGACGTGGACGTGGACATGGACGTGGACATGGACATGGACATGGACGTGGACGTGGACGTGGACGTGGACGTGGACATGGACGTGGACGTGGACGTGGACGTGGACTTGGACGTGGACGTGGCCGTGGACGTGGACTTGGACGTAAACGTGGACGTGGACGTGGACATGGACGTGGACGTGGACGTGGACGTGGAGATGGACATGGACATGGACGTGGACGTCGACATGGACGTGGACGTGGACGTGGACGTGGACATGGACGTGGACGTGGACATGGACGTGGACGTGGACGTGGACGTGGTCGTGGACGTGGACGTGGACGTGGACATGGACGTGGACGTGGTCGTGGACGTGGACGTGGACGTGCACATGGACGTAGACGTGGACGTGGACGTGGACGTGGTCGTGGACGTGGACGTGGACGTGGACATGGACGTGGACATGGACGTGGACATGGACGTGGACATGGACATGGACATGGACGTGGCCGTGGATGTGCACGTGGATGTAGACGTGGACGTGGACGTGGACGTGGACATGGACGTGAACGTGGTCGTGGACATGGACGTGGACGTGGACATGGACGTGGACATGGACATGGACGTGGACGTCGACGTGGACATAGACGTGGACGTAGACGTGGACGTGGACGTGGACGTGGACGTGGACGTGGACGTGGACGTGGACATGGACGTGGAGATGGACGTGGACGTGGACGTGGACTTGGACGTGGAGGTGGACGTGGACGTGGACGTGGACGGGGTCATGGACGTGGACATGGACGTGGACGGAGACGTGGACGCGGACATGGACGTGGACATGGACGTGGACATGGACGTGGACATGGACATGGACATAGACGTGGACGTGGACGTGGACGTGGACGTGGACATGGACATGGACATGGACATGGACGTGGATATGGACGTGGACGTGGACGTGGACGTGGACGTGGACGTGGACATGGACGTGGACGTGGACGTGGACATGGACGTGGACGTGGACGTGGACGTGAACGTGGACATGGACATGGACATGGACGTGGACGTGGACGGAGACGTGGACGCGGACATGGACGTGGACGTGGACGTGGACGTGGACGTGGACATGGACGTGGACGTGGACGTGGACGTGGACGTGGACGTGGACGTGGACGTGGTCGTGGACGTGGACGTGGACGTGGACGTGCACATGGACGTGGACGTGGACGTGGACGTGGACGTGGTCGTGGACGTGGACGTGGATGTGGACATGGACGTGGACATGGACGTGGACGTGGACGTGCACGTGGACGTGGACGTGGACGTGGACGTGGAGGTGGACGTGGACGTGGACGTGGACATGGTCGTGGACGTGGACTTGGACGTGGACGTGGACGTGGACGTGGACGTGGACTTGGACGTGGACGTGGACGTGGACGTGGACGTGGACGTGGACGTGGACATGGACATGGACGTGGTCATGGACGTCGACGTGGACATGGACGTGGACGTGGACGTGGACGTGGACGTGGACATGGACGTGGACATGGACGTGGACGTGGACATGGACATGGACGTGGACGTGGACATGGACGTGGACGTGGACGTGGACGTGCACGTGGACATGGACGTGGACATGGACGTGGACATGGACGTGGACGTGGACGTGGACGTAGACGTGGACGTGGACGTGGACGTGGACATGGACGTGGACGTGGACGTGGACGTGGACGTGGACGTGGGCGTGGACGTGGACGTGGACATGGACGTGGCCGTGGGCGTGGACGTGGACGTGGACGTGGGCGTGGACGTGGACATGGACGTGGACGTGGACGTGGACGTGGACGTGGACGTGGACATGGACGTGGACGTGGACGTGGACGTGGACATGGACGTGGACATGGACGTGGACGTGGACGTGGACGTGGACGTGGACGTGGACATGGACGTGGACGTGGACGTGGACGTGGACGTGGACGTGGTCGTAGACGTGGACGTGGTCGTGGACGTGGACGTGGACATGGACATGGACATGGACGTGGACGTGGACATGGACGTGGACGTGGACGTGGACATGGACATGGACATGGACGTGGACGTGGACATGGACGTGGACGTGGACATGGACGTGGATGTGGACGTGGACATGGACATGGACGTGGACGTGGACGTGGACGTGGACGTGGACATGGACATGGACATGGACGTGGACGTGGACATGGACGTGGTCGTGGACGTAGACGTGGACGTGGACGTGGACTTGGACGTGGACGTGGACGTGGACGTGTACGTGGACGTGGACGTGGACGCGGACGTGGACTTGGACGTGGACTTGGACGTGGAGATGGACGTGGAGATGGACGTGGACATGGACGTGGACGTGGACGTGGACATGGACATGGAGGTGTACGTGGACATGGACGTGGACCTGGAGGTGGACGTGGACGTGGACGTGGACGTGGACGTGGACGTGGACGTGGACGTGGACGTGGACATGGACGTGGACGTGGACGTGGACATGGACATGGACATGGACATGGACGTGGACGTGGACGTGGACGTGGACGTGGACATGGACATGGACGTGGACGTGGACGTGGACATGGAGGTGGACATGGACGTGGACATGGACGTGGACATGGACGTGGACGTGGACGTGGACATGGACGTGGGCGTGGACGTGGGCGTGGACGTGGACGTGGGCGTGGACATGGACATGGACGTGGACGTGGACGTGGACGTGGACGTGGACGTGGACGTGGGCGTGGACGTGGACGTGGACGAGGACGTGGACGTGGACGTGGACGAAGACGTGGACGTGGACGTGGACGTGGACGTGGACATGGACGTGGACGTGGACGTCGACATGGACGTGGACATGGACGTGGACATGGACGTGGACATGGACGTGGACGTGGACGTGGACGTGGACGTGGACGTGGACGTGGACATGGACATGGACATGGACATGGACGTGGAGGTGGACGTGGACGTAGACGTGGACGTGGACGTGGACGTGGACGTGGACGTGGACATGGACGTGGACGTGGACATGGACGTGGACATGGACATGGACGTGGACGTGGACGTGGACGTGGTCGTGGACGTGGACGTGGACGTGGACATGGACGTGGACATGGACGTGGACGTGGACGTGGACATGGACGTGGACGTGGACGTGGACGTGGACATGTACGTGGACATGGACATGGACATGGACATGGACGTGGAGGTGGACGTGGACGTAGACGTGGACGTGGACGTGGACATGGACGTGGACATGGACGTGAACGTGGACGTGGACTTGGACGTGGACGTGGACGTGGACGTGGTCATGGATGTGGACGTGGACGTGGACGCAGACGTGGACGTGGACATAGACGTGGACATAGACGTGGACATGGACGTGGACATGGACGTGGACATGGACATGGACATGGACGTGGACGTGGACGTGGACGTGGACATGGACATGGACATGGACATGGACGTAGACATGGACGTGGACGTGGACGTGGACGTGGACGTGGACATGGACGTGGACGTGGACGTGGACGTGGACATGGACGTGGACGTGGACGTGGACGTGGACGTGGACGTGGACGTGGACGTGGACGTGGACATGGGCGTGGACGTGGACGTGGACGTGGACGTGGACTTGGACGTGGACGTGGACGTGGACGTGGACATGGACGTGGACGTGGACGTGGACGTGGACATGGACATGGACATGGACGTGGACATGGACGTGGACGTGGACGTGGACGTGGTCGTCGACGTGGACGTGGACGTGGACGTGGACATGGACGTAGACGTGGACGTGGACGAGGACGTGGACGTGGACGTGGACGTGGTCGTGGACGTGGACGTGGACGTGGACATGGACGTGGACATGGACGTGGACATGGACGTGGAAGTAGACGTGGACCTGGACGTGGACGTGGACGTGGACGTGGACATGGACGTGGACGTGGACATGGACGTGGACATGGACATGGACATGGACATGGACGTGGACGTGGACGTGGACGTGGACATGGACATGGACGTGGACGTGGTCGTGGACGTGGACGTGGACGTAGACGTGGACGTGGACGTGGACATGGACGTGGACATGGACGTGGACATGAACGTGGACGTGGACGTGGACGTGGACATGGACGTGGACATGGACATGGACATGGACATGGACATGGACATGGACGTGGAGGTGGACGTGGACGTAGACGTGGACGTGGACGTGGACGTGGACGTGGACATGGACGTGGACATGGACGTGAACGTGGACGTGGACTTGGACGTGGACGTGGACGTGGACGTGGTCATGGACGTGGACGTGGACGTGGACGCAGACGTGGACGTGGACATGGACGTGGACATGGACGTGGACATGGACGTGGACATGGACATGGACATGGACGTGGACGTGGACGTGGACGTGGACATGCACATGGACGTGGACATGGACGTAGACATGGACGTGGACGTGGACGTGGACGTGGACATGGACGTGGACGTGGACGTGGACGTGGACGTGGACGTGGACGTGGACATGGGCGTGGACGTGGACGTGGACGTGGACGTAGACGTGGACGTGGACTTGGACGTGGACGTGGACGTGGACGTGGACATGGACGTGGACGTGGACGTGGACGTGGACATGGACATGGACATGGACATGGACATGGACGTGGACATGGACGTGGACGTGGACGTGGTCGTGGACGTGGACGTGGACGTGGACGTAGACGTGGACGTGGACGTGGACGTGGTCGTGGACGTGGACGTGGACGTGGTCGTGGACGTGGACGTGACGGACATGGACGTGGACATGGACGTGGACATGGACGTGGACATGGACATGGACGTGGACGTGGACGTGGACGTGGACGTGGGCATGGACGTGGACGTGGACGTGGACGTGGACATGGACGTGGACGTGGACGTGGACGTGGACGAGGACGTGGACGTGGACGTGGTCATGGACGTGGACGTGGACGTGGACGTGGACATGGTCGTGGAGATGGACGTGGACAGGGACGTGGACGTGGACGCGGACGTGGACGCGGACGTGGACGCCGTCGTGGACGTGGACAGGGACGTGGACGCGGACGTGGACGTGGAGGTGGACGTGGACGTGGACGTGGAGGACTTGGACGTGGACGTGGACGTGGAGGACTTGGACGTGGACGTGGACGTGGACGTGGACGTGGACGTGGACATGGACGTGGACGTGGACGCGGACGTGGACGTGGACGCGGACGTGGAGGACTTGGACGTGGACGTGGAGGACTTGGACGTGGACGTGGACGTGGACGTGGACATGGAGGTGGACGAGGAGATGGAATGGAGGTGGACGTGGAGATGGACGTGGACATGGACATGGACGTGGACATGGACATGGACGTGGACGTGGACGTGGACATGGACGTGGACATGGACGTGGACGTGGACGTGGACGTGGTCGTGGACGTGGACGTGAACGTGGACGTGGACATGGACGTGGACATGGACGTGGACATGGACGTGGACATGGACATGGACGTGGACATGGACGTGGATGTGGACGTGGACGTGGACATGGACGTGGACATGGACATGGACGTGGACGTGGACGTGGATGTGGACATGGACGTGGACATGGACGTGGACATGGACATGGACATGGACGTGGACGTGGAGGACGTGGACGTGGACGTGGAGGACTTGGACGTGGACATGGACGTGGACGTGGACGTGGACGTGGACGTGGACGTGGACGTGGACGTGGACCTGGACGTGGTCGTGGACGTGGACATGGACGTGGACGTGGACGTGGACGTGGTCGTGGACGTGGACGTGGACGTGGACGTGGACGTGGGCGTGGACATGGACGTGGACATGGACGTGGGCGTGGACGTGGACGTGGACGTGGACGTGGACGTGGACGTGGAAGTCGACGGGGACGTGGACGTGGACGTGGACGTGGACGTGGACGTGGACGTGGACGTGGACGTGGACGTGGACGTGGACGGGGACGTGGACGTGGACGTGGACGGGGACGTGGACGTGCACGTGGACGTGGACGTGGACGTGGACGTGGACAGGGACGTGGACGTGGACATGGACGTGGACGTGGACGTGGACGCGGACAGGGACGTGGACATGGACGTGGACGTGGACGTGGACGCGGACAAGGACGTGGACAGGGACGTGGACGTGGACATGGACGTGGACGTGGACGCGGACGTGGACGTGGACAGGGACGTGGACGTGGACGCGGACGCGGACGTGGACAGGGACGTGGACAGGGACGTGGACGCGGACATGGACGTGGACGTGGACGTGGACGTGGACCTGGACGTGGACGTGGACGTGGACGTGGACCTGGACGTGGACGTGGACGTGGACATGGACATGGACGTGGACGTGGACGTGGTCGTGGACGTGGACGTGGACGTGGACATGGACTTGGACGTGGACGTGGACGTGGACATGGACTTGGACATGGACGTGGACGTGGACGTGGATGTGGACGGAGACGTGGACATGGACGTGGACGCGGACGCGGACGTGGACGTGGACGTGGACGTGGACGTGGACGAAGACGTGGACGTGGACGCGGACATGGACGGGGACGTGGACGTGGACGTGGACGTGGACGTGGACATGGACGTGGACATGGACGTGGACTTGGACGTGGAGGTGGACGTGGACGTGGACGTGGTCATGGACGTGGACATGGACGTGGACGTAGACGTGGACGTGGACATGGACGTGGACGTGGACGTGGACGTGGACATGGACATGGAGGTGGACGTGGACGCGGACGTGGACATGGACATGGACATGGACATGGACGGGGACATGGACGCGGACGTGGACGTGGACGTGGACGTGGGCGTGGGCGTGGACGTGGGCGTGGACGTGGACATGGACATGGAGGTGGACATGGACGCGGACGTGGACATGGACATGGACATGGACATGGACGGGGACGTGGACGCGGACATGGACATGGACCTGGACGGGGACATGGGCGTGGGCGTGGACGCGGGCGTGGGCGTGGGCGTGGGCGTGGGCGTGGGCGTGGGCGTGGGCGTGGACGCGGTCGTGGACATGGACGTGGGCGTGGACGCGGACGTGGACGCGGACTTGGACGTGGACGCGGACGTGGACGCGGACTTGGACGCGGACATGGACGGGACGTGGACGCGGACGTGGACGTGGACGTGGACGTGGACGTGGACGTGGACGTGGACGTGGACGTGGACGTGGACGAGGACATGGACGTGGACGTGGACTTAGACGTGGACGAGGACGTGGACGTGGACGTGGACGTGGACGTGGACGTGGACGTGGACAGGGACGTGGACGCGGACGTGGACGTGGAGGTGGACGTGGACGTGGACGTGGACGTGGACGTGGACGTGGACGTGGAGGACTTGGACGTGGACGTGGACGTGGACGTGGACGTGGACGTGGACATGGACGTGGACGTGGACGCGGACGTGGACGTGGACGCGGACGTGGAGGACTTGGACGTGGACGTGGAGGACTTGGACGTGGACGTGGACGTGGACGTGGACATGGAGGTGGACGAGGAGATGGAATGGAGGTGGACGTGGAGATGGACGTGGACATGGACATGGACGTGGACATGGACATGGACGTGGACGTGGACGTGGACATGGACGTGGACATGGACGTGGACGTGGACGTGGACGTGGTCGTGGACGTGGACGTGGACGTGGACGTGAACGTGGACGTGGACATGGACGTGGACATGGACGTGGACATGGACGTGGACATGGACATGGACGTGGACATGGACGTGGACGTGGACGTGGACGTAGACATGGACGTGGACATGGACATGGACGTGGACGTGGACGTGGATGTGGACATGGACGTGGACATGGACGTGGACATGGACATGGACATGGACGTGGACGTGGAGGACGTGGACGTGGACGTGGACGTGGACGTGGACGTGGACGTGGACGTGGACGTGGACGTGGACGTGGACGTGGGCGTGGACCTGGACGTGGACGTGGACGTGGACGTGGACGTGGACGTGGACGTGGACGTGGACGTGGGCGTGGACGTGGACGTGGACGTGGGCGTGGACGTGGACGTGGACGTGGACGTGGACGTGGACGTGGGCGTGGACGTGGGCGTGGACGTGGACGTGGACGTGGACGTGGACGTGGACGTGGACTTGGACGTGGACTTGGACGTGGACGTGGACGTGGACGTGGGCGTGGGCGTGGACGTGGACGTGGACGTGGACGTGGACTTGGACGTGGACTTGGACGTGGACGTGGACGTGGACGTGGACGTGGGCGTGGACGTGGACGTGGGCGTGGACGTGGACGTGGGCGTGGACGTGGACGTGGACGTGGACGTGGACGTGGACGTGGACGTGGACGTGGACGTGGACGTGGTCGTGGACGTGGACGTGGACGTGGACGTGGACGTGGACGTGGACGTGGACGTGGACGTGGACGTGGACGTGGACGTGGACGTGGAGGTGGACGTGGACGTGGACGTGGACGTGGACGTGGACGCAGACGTGGACGTGGACATGGACGTGGACTTGGACGTGGACATGGACGTGGACATGGACATGGACGTGGACGTGGACATGGACATGGACATGGACATGGACGTAGACGTCGTGGACGTGGACGTGGACGTGGACATGGACATGGACATGGACATGGACGTAGACGTCGACGTGGACGTGGACATGGACGTGGACGTGGACGTGGACATGGACGTGGACGTGGACGTGGACGTGGACGTGGACGTGGACTTGGACGTGGACGTGGACGTGCAAATGGACGTGGACGTGGACGTGGACGTGGACGTGGACGTGGACATGGACGTGGACATGGTCGTGGACGTGGACATGGACGTGGACGTGGACGTGGACATGGACGCGGACATGGTCGTGGACGTGGACATGGACGTGGACGTGGACGTGGACATGGACGCGGACATGGACGTGGACGTGGACGTGGACGTGGACGTGGACGTGGGCATGGACATGGACATGGACATGGACGTGGACGTGGACGAGGACGTGGTCGCGGACGTGTACGTGGACATGGACGTGGACGTGGACGCGGACGTGGACGTGGACGTGGACGTGGACGTGTACGTGGACGTGGACGTGGACGCGGACGTGGACGTGGACGCGGACGTGGAGGACGTGGACGTGGACGTGGACGCGGACGTGGAGGACGTGGACGCGGACATGGACGTGGACGCGGACGTGGAGGACTTGGACGTGGACGTGGACGTGGAGGACGTGGACGCGGACGTGGACGTGGACGTGGACGTGGAGGACTTGGACGTGGACGTGGACATGGACGTGGACGTGGACGTGGACGTGGACGTGGACATGGACGTGGAGGACTTGGACGTGGACGTGGACGTGGACGTGGACGAGGACTTGGACGTGGAGATGGACGTGGACATGGACTTGGACGTGGACGTGGACGTGGACGTGGACGTGGACATGGAGGTGGACGTGGAGATGGACGTGGAGATGGACGTGGACATGGACATGGACGTGGACATGGACATGGACGTGGACGTGGACGTGGTCATGGACGTGGAGATGGAGGTGGACATGGACATGGACGTGGACATGGACATGGACGTGGACGTGGACGCGGACATGGACGTGGACATGGACGTGGACGTGGACGTGGACATGGACATGGACATGGACGTGGACGTGGACGTGGACGTGGACGTGGACGTGGACGTGGACGTGGACGTGGACGTGGTAGTGGACGTGGACGTGGCCGTGGACGTGGACATGGACGTGGACATGGACGTGGACATGGACGTGGACATGGACGTGGACGTGGACGTGGACGTGGACATGGACATGGACATGGACGTGGACGTGGACGTGGACATGGACATGGACGTGGACGTGGACGTGGACGTGGACATGGACATGGACATGGACGTGGACGTGGACGTGGAGGACGTGGACGTGGACGTGGACATGGACGTGGAGGACTTGGACGTGGACGTGGACGGGGACGTGGACGTGGACGTGGACGTGGACGTGGACGTGGACCTGGACGTGGACGTGGACGTGGACGTGGACGTGGACGTGGTCGTGGACGTGGACGTGGACGTGGACGTGGACCTGGACGTGGACGTGGACGTGGTCGTGGACGTGGACGTGGAGGTGGGCGTGGACGTGGACTTGGACATTGGACGTGGACGTGGACGTGGACGTGGACGTGGACGTGGACGTCGACGCGGACGTGGACGTCGACGTGGACGTGGACGACGACGTGGACGCGGACGTGGACGTGGACGTGGACGGGGACGTGGACGTGGACGTGGACGTGGACGTGGACGCGGTCGTCGACGCGGTCGTCGACGCGGTCGTCGACGGGGACGTGGACGCGGACGCAGACGTGGACGCGGACGTGGACGTGGACGTGGTCGTCGACGGGGGCGCGGACGTGGACGTGGACGCGGACGTGGACGTGGACGTGGTCGTCGACGGGGTCGTCGACGGGGACGTGGACGTGGACGTGGACGTGGACGTGGACGTGGACATGGTCATGGACATGGACGTGGACGTGGACGTGGACGTGGACGTGGACGTGGACGTGGACGTGGACGTGGACGTGGACGTGGACATGGACGTGGACGTGGACGTGGACGTGGACATGGACGAGGACGTGGACGTGGTCGTGGACATGGACATGGACGAGGACGTGGACGTGGACGTGGACGTGGACGAGGACGTGGACGTGGACGTGGACGTGGACATGGACGTGGACATGGACGTGGACGTGGACGAGGACGTGGACGTGGACGTGGACGTGGACGTGGACGTGGACGTGGACCTGGACATGGACATGGACCTGGACGTGGACCTGGTTGTGGACGTGGACCTGGACGTGGACATGGACGTGGACCTGGACGTGGACATGGACATGGACGTGGACGTGGACGTGGACTTGGACGTGGACGTGGACATGGACATGGACATGGACATGGACGTGGACATGGACGAGGACGTGGACGTGGACGTGGTCGTGGACATGGACGTGGACGTGGACATGGATGTGGACATGGACTTGGACGAGGACGTGGACGAGGACGTGGACGTGGACGTGGACATGGGCGTGGACGTGGTCGTGGACGTGGACGTGGACGTGGACATGGACGTGGACGTGGACGTGGACATGGACGTGGACATGGACGTGGACTTGGACGTGGAGGTGGACGTGGACGTGGACGCGGTCGCGGACGCGGTCGCGGACGCGGTCGTGGACGCGGTCGTGGACGCGGTCGTGACGCGGTCGTGGACGCGGGCGTGGGCGTGGACGTGGGCGCGGGCGTGGGCGTGGGCGTGGGCGTGGACGGGGACGTGGACGTGGACCGGGACGGGGACGTGGACGTGGACGTGGACGTGGACATGGACGTGGACATGGACGTGGACTTAGACGTGGAGGTGGACGTGGACGTGGACGCGGACGCGGACAGGGACGCGGACAGGGACGCGGACAGGGACGCGGACAGGGACGCGGACAGGGACGCGGACAGGGACGCGGACGCGGACAGGGACGCGGACGCGGACGTGGACGCGGACGCGGACGTGGAACTGGACGCGGACCTGGACGCGGACGTGGAACTGGACGCGGACCTGGACGCGGACCTGGACGCGGACGTGGAACTGGACGCGGACCTGGACGTGGACGTAGACGTGGACGTGGACGTGGACGTGGACGTGGACGTGGTAGTGGACGTGGACGTGGACGTGAACGTGGACGTGGACGTGGACGTGGACGTGGACGTGGACGTGGTCGTGGACGTGGACGTGGACGTGGACGCGGACGCGGACGTGGACGCGGACGCGGACGCGGACGTGGACGCGGACGTGGACGTGGACGTGGTCGTGGACGTGGTCGTGGACGGGGACAGGGACGCGGACGCGGACGCGGACAGGGACGTGGACGTGGACGTGGTCGTGGACGTGGACAGGGACAGGGACGTGGACGTGGACAGGGACGTGGACATGGACGTGGACGTGGACGTGGACGTGGACGTGGACGTGGACGTGGACTTGGACGTGGACGTGGACGTGCAAATTGACGTGGACGTGGACGTGGACGTGGACATGGACGTGGACATGGTCGTGGACGTGGACATGGACGTGGACGTGGACGTGGACATGGACGCGGACATGGACGTGGACGTGGACGCGGACGTGGACGTGGACGTGGGCATGGACATGGACATGGACATGGACGTGGACGTGGACGAGGACGTGGTCGCGGACGTGTACGTGGACATGGACGTGGACGTGGACGCGGACGTGGACGTGGACGTGGACGTGTACGTGGACGTGGACGTGGACGCGGACGTGGACGTGGACGCGGACGTGGAGGACGTGGACGTGGACGTGGACGCGGACGTGGAGGACGTGGACGTGGACGTGGACGCGGACGTGGAGGACGTGGACGCGGACATGGACGTGGACGCGGACGTGGAGGACTTGGACGTGGACGTGGACGTGGAGGACGTGGACGCGGACGTGGACGTGGACGTGGACGTGGAGGACTTGGACGTGGACGTGGACATGGACGTGGACGTGGACGTGGACGTGGACGTGGACATGGACGTGGAGGACTTGGACGTGGACGTGGACGTGGACGTGGACGAGGACTTGGACGTGGAGATGGACGTGGACATGGACTTGGACGTGGACGTGGACGTGGACGTGGACGTGGACGTGGACATGGAGGTGGACGTGGAGATGGACGTGGAGATGGACGTGGACATGGACATGGACGTGGACATGGACATGGACGTGGACGTGGACGTGGTCATGGACGTGGAGATGGACGTGGACATGGACATGGACGTGGACATGGACATGGACGTGGACGTGGACGTGGACATGGACGTGGACATGGACGTGGACGTGGACGTGGACATGGACATGGACGTGGACGTGGACGTGGACGTGGACGTGGACGTGGACGTGGACGTGGTCGTGGACGTGGACGTGGCCATGGACATGGACATGGACGTGGCCGTGGACGTGGACATGGACGTGGACATGGACGTGGACATGGACGTGGACATGGACGTGGACGTGGACGTGGACGTGGACATGGACATGGACATGGACGTGGACGTGGACGTGGACATGGACATGGACGTGGACATGGACGTGGACGTGGACATGGACATGGACATGGACGTGGACGTGGACGTGGAGGACGTGGACGTGGACGTGGAGGACTTGGACGTGGACGTGGATGGGGACGTGGACGTGGACGTGGACGTGGACGTGGACGTGGACCTGGACGTGGACGTGGACGTGGACGTGGACGTGGACGTGGACGTGGACGTGGACGTGGACGTGGTCGTGGACGTGGACGTGGACGTGGACGTGGACCTGGACGTGGACGTGGACGTGGTCGTGGACGTGGACGTGGAGGTGGGCGTGGACGTGGACTTGGACATTGGACGTGGACGTAGACGTGGACGTGGACGTGGACGTGGACGTGGACGTCGACGCGGACGTGGACGTCGACGTGGACGTGGACGACGACGTGGACGCGGACGTGGACGTGGACGCGGACGGGGACGTGGACGTGGACGTGGACGTGGACGTGGACGCGGTCGTCGACGCGGTCGTCGACGCGGTCGTCGACGGGGACGTGGACGCGGACGCGGACGTGGACGCGGACGTGGACGTGGACGTGGTCGTCGACGGGGGCGCGGACGTGGACGTGGACGCGGACGTGGACGTGGACGTGGTCGTCGACGGGGTCGTCGACGGGGACGTGGACGTGGACGTGGACGTGGACGTGGACGTGGACATGGTCATGGACATGGACGTGGACGTGGACGTGGACGTGGACGTGGACGTGGACGTGGACGTGGACGTGGACGTGGACGTGGACGTGGACATGGACGTGGACGTGGACGTGGACGTGGACATGGACGAGGACGTGGACGTGGTCGTGGACATGGACATGGACAAGGACGTGGACGTGGACGTGGACGAGGACGTGGACGTGGACGTGGACGTGGACATGGACGTGGACATGGACGTGGACGTGGACGAGGACGTGGACGTGGACGTGGACGTGGACGTGGACGTGGACGTGGACCTGGACATGGACATGGACCTGGACGTGGACCTGGTTGTGGACGTGGACTTGGACGTGGACATGGACGTGGACCTGGACGTGGACATGGACATGGACGTGGACGTGGACGTGGACTTGGACATGGACGTGGACATGGACATGGACATGGACATGGACGTGGACATGGACGAGGACGTGGACGTGGACGTGGTCGTGGACATGGACGTGGACGTGGACATGGATGTGGACATGGACTTGGACGAGGACGTGGACGAGGACGTGGACGTGGACGTGGACATGGGCGTGGACGTGGTCGTGGACGTGGACGTGGACGTGGACATGGACGTGGACGTGGACGTGGACATGGACGTGGACATGGACGTGGACTTGGACGTGGAGGTGGACGTGGACGCGGACGCGGTCGTGGACGCGGTCGCGGACGCGGTCGTGGACGCGGTCGTGGACGCGGTCGTGACGCGGTCGTGGACGCGGGCGTGGGCGTGGACGTGGGCGCGGGCGTGGGCGTGGGCGTGGGCGTGGGCGTGGACGGGGACGTGGACGTGGACCGGGACGGGGACGTGGACGTGGACGTGGACGTGGACATGGACGTGGACATGGACGTGGACTTGGACGTGGAGGTGGACGTGGACGTGGACGCGGACGCGGACAGGGACGCGGACAGGGACGCGGACAGGGACGCGGACAGGGACGCGGACAGGGACGCGGACGCGGACAGGGACGCGGACAGGGACGCGGACGCGGACGCGGACGCGGACGCGGACGCGGACCTGGACGCGGACGTGGACGCGGACGCGGACCTGGACGCGGACCTGGACGCGGACCTGGACGCGGACGTGGAACTGGACGCGGACCTGGACGTGGACGTGGACGTGGACGTGGACGTGGACGTGGACGTGGACGTGGTAGTGGACGTGGACGTGGACGTGGACGTGGACGTGGACGTGGACGTGGACGTGGACGTGGACGTGGACGTGGACGTGGACGCGGACGCGGACGTGGACGCGGACGCGGACGCGGACGTGGACGCGGACGTGGACGTGGACGTGGTCGTGGACGTGGTCGTGGACGGGGACAGGGACGCGGACGCGGACGCGGACAGGGACGTGGACGTGGACGTGGTCGTGGACGTGGACAGGGACGTGGACGTGGACAGGGACGTGGACGCGGACGTGGACGTGGACGTGGACAGGGACGTGGACGCGGACGTGGACGTGGACGTGGACAGGGACGTGGACGCGGACGTGGACGTGGACGTGGACGCGGACGTGGACGGGGACGCGGACGTGGACGTGGACGCGGACGTGGACGCGGACGCGGACGTGGACGCGGACGCGGACGCGGACGTGGACGAGGACGTGGACGTGGACGTGGACGTGGACGTGGACGTGGACTTGGACGTGGACGTGGACGTGGACGTGGACGTGGACGTGGGCGTGGGCGTGGGCGTGGCCAGGGACGTGGACGCGGACAGGGACGCGGACGCGGACAGGGACGCGGACGCGGACGTGGACGCGGACGGGGACGCGGACGCGGACGCGGACAGGGACGCGGACGCGGACAGGGACGCGGACAGGGACGCGGACGGGACGCGGACGGGGACGCGGACGCGGACGGGGACGCGGACGGAGACAGGGACGCGGACGCGGACAGGGACGCGGACGCGGACGCGGACGGGACGGGGACGCGGACCTGGACGGGACGCGGACGGGGACGCGGACGCGGACGGGACGGGGACGCGGACCTGGACGCGGACGTGGACGCGGACGCGGACGGGACGGGGACGCGGACGTGGACGCGGACGCGGACGTGGTCGTGGACGCGGACGCGGACGTGGACCTGGACGTGGACGGGACGCGGACGTGGACGTGGACGTGGACGCGGACGTGGACGTGGACGGGGACGTGGACGGGGACGTGGACGTGGACGTGGTCGTGGACGTGGTCGTGGACGTGGTCGTGGACGTGGACGTGGACGTGGACGTGGTCGTGGACGTGGACGTGGACGTGGACGTCGACGTGGGCGTGGACGTGGGCGTGGACGTGGGCGTGGACGTGGACGTGGACGTCGACGTGGACGTGGGCGTGGACGTGGACGTCGACGTGGACGTGGGCGTGGACGTGGACATGGACGTGGACGTGGACGTGGACGTGGACGTGGACGTGGACGTGGGCGTGGACGTGGGCGTGGGCGTGGACGTGGACGTGGACGTGGACGTGGACGTGGACGTCGACGTGGACGTGGTCGTGGACGTGGTCGTGGACGTGGACGTGGACTTGGACGTGGACGTGGTCGTGGACGTGGTCCTGGACGTGGACGTGGACGTGGACTTGGACGTGGACCTGGACGTGGACCTGGACCTGGACCTGGACCTGGACTTGGACGTGGACGTGGACGTGGACGTGGACGTGGACGTGGACCTGGACGTGAACGTGGACGTGGACGTGGACCTGGACGTGGACCTGGACGTGGACGTGGACGTGGACGTGGACGTGGACGTGGACGTGGACGTGGACGTGGACCTGGACGTGGACCTGGACGTGGACCTGGACGTGGACGCGTGGACGTGGACGCGTGGACGTGGACGTGGACGTGAACGCGGACGTGGACGACGACGTGGACGTGGACGACGACGTGGACGACGACGTGGACGCGGACGCGGACGCGGACGACGACGCGGACGCGGACGCGGACGACGACGCGGACGCGGACGCGGACGCAGACGCGGACGCGGTCGTGGACGCGGTCGGGGACGCAGACGCGGACGCGGTCGCGGTCGTGGACGCGGACGCGGTCGCGGTCGTGGACGCGGACGCGGTCGCGGACGCGGACGCGGACGTGGACGTGGACGTGGACGTGGGCGTGGACGTGGACGTGGACGTGGACGACGTGGACGTGGACGTGGGCGTGGACGTGGACGTGGGCGCGGACGTGGACGTGGGCGTGGACCTGGACGTGGACGCGGACGTGGACGTGGACGTGGACGTGGACGTGGACGTGGACGTGGACGTGGTCGTGGACGTGGTCAGGGACGTGGACGTGGACGTGGTCAGTCGTGGACGTGGTCAGTCGTGGACGTCGACGTGGTCAGTCGTGGACATGGTCGTGGACGTGGGCAGACGTGGTCAGTCGTGGACATGGACGTGGACCTGGACGCGGACGTGGACGTGACGCGGACGCGGACGTGACGCTGACGCGGACGCGGACGTGACGCGGACGCGGACGTGGACGGGGACGCGGACGCGGACGTGGACGTGGACGCGGATGCGGACGTGACGCGGACGCGGACGCGGACGTGACGCTGACGCGGACGGGGACGAGGACGCGGACGCGGACGTGGACGGGGACGCGGACGTGGACGCGGACGCGGACGCGGACGGGGACGTGGACGGGGACGGGGACGGGGACGCGGACGTGGACGTGGACGGGGACACGGACGGGGACGTGGACGCGGACGGGGACGCGGACGTGGACGGGGACGCGGACGCGGACGTGGACGTGGACGGGGACACGGACGGGGACGTGGACGCGGACGGGGACGCGGACGGGGACGCGGACGGGGACGCGGACGTGGACGGGGACGCGGACGGGGACGCGGACGGGGACGGGGACGGGGACGGGGACGCGGACGGGGACGCCGACGGGGACGCGGACGGGGACGCGGACGGGGACGCGGACGGGGGGACGCGGACAGTGACGCGGACGGGGACGCGGACGTGGACGGGGACGTGGACGGCGCGGACGCGGACGCGGACCCGGACGCGGACCTGGACGCGGACCTGGACGTGGACGCGGACGTGGACGCGGACGTGGACGCGGACGTGGACGCGGACGTGGACGCGGACGTGGGCGCGGACGTGGGCGCGGACGAGGACGCGGACGAGGACGCGGACGAGGACGCGGACGAGGACGCGGACGAGGACGCGGACGAGGACGTGGACGAGGACGTGGACGTGGACGTGGACGAGGACGTGGACGAGGACGTGGACGAGGACGTGGACGAGGACGTGGACGTGGACGAGGACGTGGACGAGGAGGAGGACGAGGACGAGAACGTGGACGAGGACGTGGACGAGGACGTGGACGAGGACCTGGACGAGGACCTGGACGTGGACGTGGACGTGGACGTGGACGTGGACCTGGACGTGGACGTGGACGTGGGCGTGGGCGTGGACGTGGGCGTGGGCGTGGGCGTGGGCGTGGACGTGGACGTGGACGTGGACGTGGACGTGGACGTGGACGTGGACGTGGACGTGGACGTGGACGTGGACGTGGACGTGGACGTAGACATAGACGTGGACGTGGACGTGGACGTGGACGTGGACGTGGACGTGGTCGTGGACGTGGACGTGGACGTGGACGTGGACGTGGTCGTGGACGTTGTCAACGGGAGTTGTGTGTTGGCCCCGTCCACGCTTGGGCGGAGCCGACTTCGTGGTCGGGTGTTAGGGGAGCAGCCGACCTGTAGCAGTGGGCGGGCTGGTCGACCAGGAGGTCGACTTGCACGGGGACCACTGTACGGGCGCCGACTTCGAGGTGGCGCCAACTTCGGGGAGGTCGACTTAAGCGTCGACCTGCGGAGGACGTCAACTTGATGACGTCGACTTGGGAAGTCGACTTCGGTGGTCGGCTAATGTGCTGGTCGATCTGCGGGTGGTCGACTGGACCCGGTGGTCGACGAAGGAGGGGCCGACGTCGAGCAGTCGAGCGTCGAGCAGTCAGGACGTCGAGTGACGCGGTCGTCGACCGAGGGGCGTGGTCGACTTGGTGAGGTCGACATCGAGGTGGTCGTCGACTTGGGAGGTCGACGGACACGTACGAGAATTGCTGGTCGATGTGGTTGCCCAGTCGACCAGGTTACCTGGGTGACGAAGTGCTGCGGAGGAGTGCGACGGTCGCCCAGGCGAAGTTGGCGAGACCGACCTCGGTGGTGGTATCCCGAGGACGACGTGGCGGATCAGAGGCAGCCGTCAGCTCGAGGCTGACGTGGTGTGTGTGCTGTGCAGGTGATGAGGCTCGGTATATCAATCATCTGCACGCATCTGCAAAGCGGGTGCACTGCTGGCACACCGTCGACCTGCAGCGTTGGCAAGCTGTCGACTTTGCACTGCTGGAACGCGGTCGACCAAGTCGTGCTGGAACGCAGTCGACCATGCTGTGCTGGCAGTTGACCAACCTGAATGCTAGTTCTGATGTAGTCTTGCATTGCCAACTTCATTGTACCAATTGTTGTGATCTTTTCTTAGTGAAACTCTTGCCAAAATTGCCCCGTGAACTAGCAAGTAGTGTGAGCACTAGGAAAACGTCTAAGGACCAACGAACGCAGAGATCACACGAGCACACGTGCCTAGCCAGTAGTCTAGCTCCCGTTGTAGTAGTTATCTCCGCATGGTGCGATGAGCGCGGACGGCACACGACTTACCTTTCAGTCAGGTCGACGTAGACACCACTTACCTAGTTCGTGGTTAGAGGCCGGCAACTGTGCGGTAGTCACTATGGTAGGAGCCGTAGGTGACGCGGGGGTGGTGGACACCCTGGAGGCACGGTTGGAGAACGCGAGGAGGAAGCATGAGGCCAATGAGTATGGCGACCTGCCCTGGGCGGTCGTCGAGGCTGGACTCCGCTCCACGTGGGCGACGGAGCACCCGTCTCGACCTGCTTCCCCTCATCCGGTGAACAACGAAGGCGGCGTCGACTTGGGCGTCAACGCCGGTGGTGGTCAGGTCGGCAGCAGTGTTGGAGGCACGTCGAGGCAGAGAGGTGTGATACACGCCGGTGAAGTCGGCGGCGTTCAGGCGCGAGGGATGCAGTCGTCGGCGGCTGCAGGCTCCTCGCAGGGTGACGTTGGAGGTCGACGGAGTGGGCTGTCGCCGATGTCGGCGTCACAGGTGACAGCAGGTGGGATCGCGCCGAGCTACGGCTACTTCAAGTTCACGCCGGACAGGATCTCGGTCACCCCCCCACTGGTCGGTCGACCCGACATTCTCACCTGGAAGGAAGCCATCGAGCCCCAGCTGGAGATGGCCGGGTTGATCGGCTTCGCCCGAGGGACCGTGGCGACGCCTGGGGAGCACCACCCCGACTTGCGGGCGGGGTTTCGCGCCGTGCAGCTGCTGACCTTCACGGTCATCTCGCGGTGCTGCTCACCAGGGGTGCAGATTGCCTTGAAGTGGTGCCGAGAGTACATCGACGCCGGCCACCGGGCGTGGCACTTCATCGAGTCGACGTACCAGGTCACCGACGACCTTTTCATCGCCCAGCTGGAGGGACAGCTGACGCACCTGCGTATGGGTGACGATGAGACAGCGACCGACTACTGCAACCGGGCCCGGCGAATTCTCGCCACCATCAGGATGGCCGGCGCGCAGTACTCCACGGCGTCGTACATCACCCATATCATGCAGGGACTCTCGAGCAGCTACAACCTCCTGAAACGACTGTCCATGGCGCCGAACACAAGGGCGACGCTCAACGAGGACAACTTGACCTCGTACATCCTGCAGGACGAGGCGATGCAGGAGGCTGAGCGGTCGCAGGAACTCTTGGCGCAGGCCAACTTCGTCGCCCCGGCGAAGCAAGGAGGTCGACCAGGAGAGCGCGGACAGTCTGGTGGCGGCGGGAGCGGTGGCTGGAAGTCGGCCAAGGAGGTCGACAAGAAGAAGTCGACCAAGAACAGCGGTCGAGGAGGAGGAGGTCGACGACGGGAGTGCTGGCTGTGCGGCGACCCCGACCACCTCTCCTTCGAGTGCCCCGACCGCAGTGACTCCGATGACGACGACGCCAAGGGAGGCCGCGGGAGGTCTGACAGTCGCCGTCCTCGTCGAGGAGGAAGCAAGCCGCACAAGGAGAAGCAGTCGACCAAGACGTCGACTTCGGCGAAAGACGCCGACTCCCCTGCTGGCGGCAAGGCGCGGGACGACAAGACGGCGTCGTGCTCGCTGGTCGGCGTCGTGGAGCCGACCGTCTCGCTGGCGCCAGAGGCCGGAGAGGACTTCCAGGCGGTGGCGGCAGCTGTGCAGGCGAACCCGGAGGTGGTCCTGCTCGACAGCGGTTGCTCCCACCACCTGATGGGGACGAAGGAAGCCTTCGTCGACCTGCAGCCAAGCGGCTTCATCAAGCACGTGCGCGGCTTCAATGGGGCGCTGCAGGATGTCCAGGGCCGCGGCACCGTCGCCCTGCAAGGGGGGGCCGGGAAGCAGGTGCTCATCCCCGACGTGTTGTACGTCCCGGGTGTGCGGGCGAACTTACTGTCGTCCGGCCAGCTGAAGGAGCACGGTGTGAAGCTGCAAGAGGACGGCGACGGGATGCTGCTCGTCTCGGCAACAGGAGAAGTGCTCGGACGGGCGACGTACTCCGGGCGTGTCCTCTGCACCGACCTGCGTCCCTGCCCAACGAGGTCGACGTCGACCACACCGGCGGTAGTGGCCCTGCGGGCGATCGTCTCGAAGACGAAGTCGACGCCGGACCGAATGCATGCGAGGCTTGCACATGTCGGCATGGACACCATACGGAGCTCGGCGAAGAACGAGGTCGCCATTGGGCTGGACCTCAAGTCGGCGCAGGGCGCTGACTCCCCGTGTGTCTCGTGCGTCGGCGGGAAGTTGGCGCGGCACACCTTCCCCGACCAAGGCTCCGACGCCGACGACGTGCTGGGCGTCGTGCACATCGACCTGTGCGGGCCATTCCGCGTGGCTGCTAAGGATGGAAGCCTGTACTTCTTGCTGCTGAAGGACCGCAAGACCCGCTATGTGTGGGTGAAGCCGGTCGCCAAGAAGTCAGATGCGTTGCCGGTGTTCGTGCAGTGGCTGGCGGTGGTTGAGCGGCAGACGAAGAAGTCGGTGCTGATGCTGCGCTCTGACCGGGGAGGGGAGTTCCTCGGGAAGCAGTTCACCGACTTCGTGAACGGCAAGGGGATCGTCCACGACCTGACCTGCCCATACACCCCGCAGCAAAACGGCATGGCGGAGCGGGAGATGAGGACGGTGGTGGAGTCGGTGCGGACAATGCTGCTGCACATGGGTGTGCAGCACCACTGGTGGCACCTCGCTCTGCGGCAGGCCGTCTGGGTCCGCAACTGCCTCGAGAGGTCGACGCTGCCGCCGGGGACGACGCCGTACCAACTGTTGACCGGGAAGAAGCCCGACTTGTCGCTGGCGCGGGTGTGGGGCTGCATGGCGCAGTTCTTAGTCCCCGAGCAGCAGCGTGGTGGGAAGCTGCAGCCAAAGGCAAAGTGGGGTCTGCACCTTGGTGTGTCGACGCCGAGCAAGGGCTGGGAGCTCCTCGACGTCGGCACCGACCGGGTGGTCACCACGTCGGACGTGGTGTTCTACGAAGAGATGTCGCTGACTGAGTGGAAGACGGAGAACAGGTCGGTGTCCGGCCGCTCGTTGCCCGCTCCGCCCTCTGACACCTCGTCGGCGACGCTGCCACTGCTTGCCGAGATCGGTGAGCTCCCTGTCCAGGACGTCGAGGACGTCCGCCCACCTGCTCCTCCTCCTGCGAACCCCGCCCCTCCCCTCGTGGTCGATCTGCGTCGGTTGACCTCGGTGTCGGCCTCCGGCGATGAGGGGAGTAGTGCGACGCCGCCTTCGGCCAAGTGCATCGCCGGTGGTCGACGCGACGAGCGGCAGGGCGACGTGGGCTTGCAGTCGATGACGACAGGGGCGGAGCAGGTCGAGAAGCAGGTCGAGGACCAGCGGTCGACAGAGGAGCAGGCAGCAATGACGCCGACCAAGGAGAAGTCGGCGACCGGGCAGTCGGCAGGGGAGCCGACCATAGGGGAGAAGTCGGCTGGAACGCCGGCTGACGAGCAGCAGGACGTCGAGGGCAGCGGCAACGATGGAGGGGACGCCGAGGAGGTTCAGCCAGGACCACGGCGTTCAGGCCGGCTTCGGAGGCCGCCTGACTTCTTCGTCCCCGCTGCCTTCACCACGGTGTACGACGTGGACGATGAGGCCGACGACCTGCTGTACGACGATGTCGAGGAGGATGAAGAGTTTCCAGAGCTCGACCCCGACATGTTAGCCGACCCCGAGCACCGTTGGGACATCTCGACGATGACGGTGAAGGAGGCGTTGGCGAGCTGGAAGGGCCCGGCGGTGAGAGCCGCCATGGAGGAGGAGATTCGCAGCCTCCTCAACATGGGAACGTGGGAGTTGGTCGAACGTCCGCCGGGAGTGAACGTCATGAAGAACCGGTGGGTGTTGACGACGAAGTACCACGTCGATGACACCGTCGAGCGCGAAAAGGCGAGGCTGGTGGTGAAGGGCTTCACGCAGGTGTACGGCGCCGACTACGACGAGACGTTCGCGCCGGTGGGCAGCTACGTCACGCTGAGGATCTTCCTCAGCATCGTCGCCGTCCGCAACCTCAATCTCATGCAGCTCGACATGAAGAACGCCTTCTTGCAGAGCAAGCTCGACAGGGTGCTCTACATGTCCCAGCCGGACTACTTCAACGACGGGACCGGCCGGGTGTGCAAGCTGCTGAAGAGCCTGTATGGGCTAAAGCAGTCGCCGCTGCTGTGGTACTTGGCGCTCAACGACGTGCTGGTTGACGCCGGGTGGAAGAAGAGCCAGGTCGACGAGGCTCTCTACTGCAAGGTCGGAGAAGACGGAGTGGCCTGCTGGGTGCTGGTCTACGTCGACGACCTCCTCGCCGCCAGCAGCAGCGCCGCGATGTTGAAGGAGTTGAAGGAACTGCTGGAAGCCGCCTTCGAGCTGCGTGAGATCTCGCCGGTGCAGAAGTACCTCGGGCTGGAGATCGTCCGCGACAGGTCGGCGGGGAAACTGTGGCTGCACCAGCAGGGCTACGCCGACAAGCTGCGTAGGCGCTTCATCGACGAGAAGCAGGCCGGGCGCACCCCGAAGACGCCGGTCTCGGTCGACGCCTACGCCGAGCTCACGTTCGATGACGAGGAGGCGCAGGAGCGACAGGAGGAGGAGTACCGGCAGAAGGTCGGCTCGCTGCAGTTTGCGGCGACGACGACGAGGCCGGACATCGCCTTCGCCTGCAGCAAGCTGGGGAGCGGCCTAACGGTGAGGAGCGACCAGCACTGGCGTGAGGTCGACCGCTGCCTCGCCTACCTCGCCAATACGCGCGACACCGCCCTGGAGTTCGGCGGTGGACCTGAGTCGCTGGAGCTGGTCGGCTACGTGGACGCCGACGACGCTGGTGACAAGCAGAACAGGACGAGCACGAGTGGATACGTGTTTGTCTATGGAGGGGCTGCAGTCTCCTGGTCGAGCCAGCGCATCAAGTGCGCGACGTTGTCGTCGACAGAGTCGGAATACGTGGCAGCCACCGAAGCCGGCAAGGAAGGACGCCGACTTCGCTTTCTTCTTGCAGAGTTCCGGCAGCTGGATGCCGGGAAGCCGACCGTCCTTCGGGTGGACAACAAGTCGGCCATCACAGTCGCCGAGGGCATGGGGTTGACGGGCAACCTCAAGCACATGGAGCGACGACAGGCCTGGCTGCAGCACATGGTAAAGCGCGGGAAGTTCTCGTTGAAGTACATCCCGACCACTGGGCAGCCGGCCGACTTCCTGACGAAGGCGCTGCACTATCCGGCCTTCAACCGGTGCTCCGTCGCAATCGGCCAGGTGCGCTTGGCCGACGTGGGCGACGGCGACAACGACGTGCAGCAGTAGGTGCCATGCCCTCTTGCATGGCTGGTGCGGTGGACGACGTGCTGTGTGTTGGGTGCACGTCGATGAGCTATTCTCCGAGGAGTACTGCCGAGTGGACTTGGGGGGACCAAGCGTGAACGCGGCAAGGGAGTGTCAACGGGAGTTGTGTGTTGGCCCCGTCCACGCTTGGGCGGAGCCGACTTCGTGGTCGGGTGTTAGGGGAGCAGCCGACCTGTAGCAGTGGGCGGGCTGGTCGACGAGGAGGTCGACTTGCACGGGGACCACTGTACGGGCGCCGACTTCGAGGTGGCGCCAACTTCGGGGAGGTCGACTTAAGCGTCGACCTGCGGAGGACGTCAACTTGATGACGTCGACTTGGGAAGCCGACTTGGGTGGTCGGCTAATGTGCTGGTCGATCTGCGGGTGGTCGACTGGACCCGGTGGTCGACGAAGGAGGGGCCGACGTCGAGCAGTCGAGCGTCGAGCAGTCAGGACGTCGAGTGACGCGGTCGTCGACCGAGGGGCGTGGTCGACTTGGTGAGGTCGACATCGAGGTGGTCGTCGACTTGGGAGGTCGACGGACACGTACGAGAATTGCTGGTCGATGTGGTTGCCCAGTCGACCAGGTTACCTGGGTGACGAAGTGCTGCGGAGGAGTGCGACGGTCGCCCAGGCGAAGTTGGCGAGACCGACCTCGGTGGTGGTATCCCGAGGACGACGTGGCGGATCAGAGGCAGCCGTCAGCTCGAGGCTGACGTGGTGTGTGTGCTGTGCAGGTGATGAGGCTCGGTATATCAATCATCTGCACGCATCTGCAAAGCGGGTGCACTGCTGGCACACCGTCGACCTGCAGCGTTGGCAAGCTGTCGACTTTGCACTGCTGGAACGCGGTCGACCAAGTCGTGCTGGAACGCAGTCGACCATGCTGTGCTGGCAGTTGACCAACCTGAATGCTAGTTCTGATGTAGTCTTGCATTGCCAACTTCATTGTACCAGTTGTTGTGATCTTTTCTTAGTGAAACTCTTGCCAAAATTGCCCCGTGAACTAGCAAGTAGTGTGAGCACTAGGAAAACGTCTAAGGACCAACGAACGCAGAGATCACACGAGCACACGTGCCTAGCCAGTAGTCTAGCTCCCGTTGTAGTAGTTATCTCCGCAGACGTGGTCGTGGACGTGGATGTGGACGTGGACGTGGACGTGGACGTGGACATGGACATGGACGTGGATGTCTTCGTGGACGTGGACGTTGTCAGAATCCCAACCACTAGACCATTGGGATAAAAGGGCTTGTTTCAGTAGCGGATCAGTGCGCCCATAACCCCCCAGGCAAACGCGCCTGTAACCCCCCCTAGGATCGATCGGGGATCTCACAGTGTAGCTCTACTGACACCCCCCCACACTGGGAGGCCCAGGACTGAGCACAGTGGCAACGACCAACATGTGCATACACCGGGATTCGAACCCGAGACCGCTCTGATACCATGTCAGAATCCCAACCACTAGACCATTGGGATCAAAGGGCTTGTTTCAGTAGCGGATCAGTGCGCCCATAACCCCCCAGGCAAACGCGCCTGTAACCCCCCCTAGGATCGATCGGGGATCTCACAGTGTAGCTCTACTGACAGACGTGGACATGGACGTGGACGTGGACGTGGACGTGGACGTGGACATGGACGTGGAGGTGGACGTGGACGTGGACGTGGAGGTGGACGTGGACATGGACGTGGACGTGGACATGGACGTGGACGTGGACCTGGATGTGGACGTGGATGTGGTCGTGGATGTGGACGTGGACGTGGACGTGGACCTGGACGTGGACGTGGACGTGGACGTGGACGTGGACGTGGACCTGGACGTGGACGTGGACGTGGACGTGGACGTGGACCTGGACGTGGACGTGGACGTGGACGTGGACTTGGACGTGGACGTGGACGTGGTCGTGGACGTGGACGTGGACGAGGACGTGGACGAGGACGTGGACGTGGACTGTGAAGCTGAAAGGACAGGAATGAATGAACTATGAAATGTGTGAGTACAAGTACCAACCCTAATTGGGTTGTACCCCCTATGGGATACCCCACTATAAGTTATAAGTTCTATAAGTTCTGACACACCCCCATAGGCAAAGTGGGGGAGAACAAGGGGTCACAAGACCAGTCAAGCAAAGCAAAGCAAAGCTCAGGGTGGATCACAAAGTCACCACACAGTCCGAGCACAAGGTCAAGACCACAAGGCCAGTTCACATGCAAGATGAGACATATATATATAAGGCTAAACAAGCAAGAGCAGGTATATATATATGCAAGAGTACAAGCAAGGTCAAGAGGTGAGCAAGTGAGGTAGGACAGGTACAAGTCCCAGCTGAGTGCAGAAACGCTGATGATCACAAGGCGGAAGTGCCTTGGTGAAAACATCAGCAGTGTTGGCCTCAGAGGCCGCGTACGCAAGTCGCAACTGACCACGCTGCTGCAGCTCACGAGGAAGGAAGTAATGGAGAGCAATGTGCTTCGTTCTGTGCTCCAAGCGCTGCTCTCGACACAAGGCCAGCATGGCCTTGTTGTCTACGTACAGCACTGGAGGAGAACGAGGCGGCTCTCCAAGGTCAGTCAGCAGGTAGGTGAGCCAGCGAAGCTCCTGTGCAGCCATGGCCCCGGCGTAGATCTCAGCCTCACAACTGGAGCCGAGAACAGAAGACGAGCGAGTAGCCCGCCAAGAAACAGAGCCAGAACCAAGACTGAAGGTGTACCCCTGCGACGACCGCTGCGTAGCCTGGTCGTCAGCCCAAGAAGAGTCTGCGTGACCAGTGAGGACCACTGGACTCCGCCCTCCAAGCACTAGCCCCATGCCCGACGTACTGCACAAGTAGCGCAACACCCTCTTCGCTGCAGCCATGTGCTCTGGTCGGTGTCTCCCAGGAGCAACATAGCGTGCAAGAATGCTAAGAGGGTATGCAAGGTCAGGTCGTGTGCAGGTCATCAGGTACATGAGGCAGCCAACAAGCTCTGGGTACGGGCCACTCGACTCTACGGACTCATCCGAAGGCAGAGCTGAGAGCGAGTGGCGAGTAGCCAGAGGAGTGGCCTAAGGCGAGGAGTACGTGAAGCCGAAGCGCTGAAGGACCTGCTGCACCATGTGTGACTGAGTCAAGGTAATGGTGCGGCGTGCTCTGTCCCGGGTGATCTGCAAGCCAAGGTAGCTGCGCAGTTCACCCAGGTCTGTGCACGTGTGTCTCTTCAGCAGCTCGGACTTCACGTAGGCGAGTCCAGCAGTGTCAGCAGTGGCAAAGACCAAGTCGTCGACGTACACGAAGATGTAGAACGGCGGCAGAGAAGTGTCGGTGCGCAGAAACAGCGACGGGTCAGCACTAGAGGGAGCAAACCCAAGAGCCGCAAGCGTAGTCCTCAGTGTGTCGTGCCACTCACGCGGTGCCTGGCGGAGACCGTAGACTGGCCGTCGGAGGCTCCACTGGGTGTCAGGAGGGAAAGTCCCAGTGAAGCCAGGCGGACGGCGCAGCCAGATCTCCTCGTGCAGGCTGCCCTGCAAGAAAGCTGTGCTGAAGTCAAGAGAGTGAAGCTCGTAGTCGCGCTGAGCGGCTATGTGCAGGAGCACCCAAAGAGTAGTCATCTTTGGGGTGGGAGAGAAGGTCTGAAAGTAGTCAACTCCCTGCCGCAGACTAAAGCCACGAGCAACGTACCGCGCCTTGAAGACAGGTGGAGAGCCAGGCGGCCGCTTCACCCTGAAGATCCACATGCCACTGACGATGTTCGCCCCAGGAGGGGGAACCTCGTCAACGTAGGTGCCTGTGGACTTCCAGGAAGCCATCTCTGCATCCATAGCTGCCTGCCACTGAGAGGAGTAGGGACCCTCTACGGCCTCCGCGTAAGAACGCGGAGTCGGGATGTCTAGTGCATCCGGGTCTCCCTCAGGAGCAAGGATTACAGACGCGAGATGAGGTGAAGCAGCCGCTAGACACTGGAACTCCTCCTGCCTGTCCTCAAGGACGTCCGTGCCAAGAGCACACTCACCCCCGACGGACGGAGGACAGACAGACGCAGACTCAGCAACAAGATTAGCAGCGTAGTCTAGACGACAGCGAGCAGCAAAGTCGACGAGCTCAGCGACAAGAGCAGACGCAGCAGTGGACTCAAAAGAGGGGTCCGTGACAACAGTACCAAGAAGACGCGTGACAGTAGGACTGGCAGCACGAAGAGAGTCCGACTCCGGGTCGGAAAGCGCAGGAAGAGAGGACTCAAGAGGAGAAGGCAAAGGGGCACGCAAAGGAGCAGTGGACGAACGCAGAGACATCCGGTGCGTGCCAGGGACAGGAGGAGGACGCTCGGGCGAACCGCGACCACTAGCGCGAGCAGCACGAACAGGCGACGCGGGACGAGACGCAGGCTCACGACGCTCAGCAAGACCTCCAGTAGGACCAGTGTAAGGAGAGGGAGCAGGCAGTGGGGAGGCTGGCTCTAACAGTGACGGCGACTGGACTGACTGCGGACACTCGACAGACGGAGGAAGACCAAGAACCTGCTGCAGGAGCGGAAGAAGTACGGCCGAGGCCGCGCGGGGACTCCAGGCACAGCAGGGACAGCACCAGAACCCTCAGCGGCAGCACCAGCGCCAACAGCACCTCCAGCGGCAGGACCTCCAGCCGCACCAGCAGCAGGACCACCGCCAGGACAGACAGCAGCAGTCTCAGCACCAACACCCTCAGCAGCTCCAGCTCCAGTAGGACCCGAAGGTCCAGCAGCTCCAGGACCGGCGGCACCAGCACCCTCAGCGGCCGAAGAAGCTCCAGCACCAGCAGTACGCCTCCAGCGGCGAGCGAACCACTCGCGCAGCTCCTGTGGAGAGAGGGGCTCCCGCCGAGACGGAGCACCCGGAGAACCTCTAGGCCCAGCACCGCCAGACGCCACAAGGGGAGGTCCAGCGGCCGCAGGCTCCGCACAGCCAGGCTCAGCAGCCCCAGACGCAACACCCCCAGGCTCAGCAGCTCCCGACGTAGCACCCCCAGATCAGCACCCCCAGGCTCAGCAGCTCCAGACGCAGCACCCCCAGGCTCAGCAGCTCCCGACGTAGCACCCCCAGACTCAGCACCCCCAGGCTCAGCAGCTCCAGACGCAGCACCCCCAGGCGCAGCACCCCCAGGCTCAGCACCCACGCGCACAGCACCCCCAGGCTCAGCACCCACGCGCACAGCACCCCCAGAGTCAGCACCCCCAGGCTCAGTACCCTCAGCAGGACCAGAGTCACCATCAACCTCGACCAGCTCGACGGCGTCTACCTGGGACACACCTGAAGGGGCAGGAACCTGAGGAGGGAGGGGGTCTACCGGGGGGGGACCTGGCACAAGGAAGTCCGGTGGCGGGGGGAGGGAAGGAGTGCGGTAGGGGAAGAGACGGTAGAAGGGGACTGACTCGTCGAACGTGACGTCCTGGGAGGACAGAACACGACGAGAGGAGGGGTGGTAGAACTGCCGCCCTGGAGCGTCAGGGGGGAAGCCAAGGAAGACACAAGGAGAACCACGGGGGGACAACTTGTCCGCAGACAAGTCGCGGACAAACGCCTGAGATCCCCAGACACAGAACGCAGACGCATCGCCGACCTTCCCCGTCCACAGCAAGACTGGGGACATCGCGGGCCGAGAGACCCTGGGGTGAAGGTTGAGCTGATGCGCCGCGTACCGAACCGCAAACGGCCACAGAAAATGGGGGGCAGCCGCATGCATCATGGACGTACGAGCGACATCCATGACCATGCCAATGCAGCGCTCAGCAATCCCATTTTGCTGTGGAGAGTCCGGAAGCGTAAAGGTCTGGCGGATCCCCCGTGCACGACAGTAGTCTCGTAGAAGGCGAGAGGAGAACTCCCCACCTTGGTCAGAGTGCAGACGCTGAACAGGAAAGTCCGAGCCGAAGCTCCTCCTGAGCTGGAGACGAGCCTCGCGGATCCAGTCGATCAGCACCTCAGTGACATCACCCTTGCTGCGCAAGGGGAAGACTGTGGTGTAACGCAAGTAGTCGTCAACCACCAACAAGAAGTAGCGCTCGTGACCCTGCCCACGGACGCGGGCCGGGCCCCACACGTCCATGTGAAGTGTCTGCAGAGGAGCCTCTGTCGGGGGAAACTGGGAGGAGTGAGGAGCAGCCCTGAGGCGCCCCTCGACACAAGGGACACAGGAAGGTCCTGGCCCAGAAGGAAGGGGAGGGAGAGACCGGGGAAGACCAGAGACAAGGACACGGGAAGCCATGCCCCGAAGACGGGGCAAGGAGGGGTGGCCAAGACGGTGGTGCCACAGGAGAGTCTCGTGAGACAGGAGGCGACACGAACAGGGGGCAGACTCAGGGCTAGACCGGGACGCAGCAGCAAACACCTGACCTGACGCAGCTACCTGACCAGACGCAGGGACAGGAGGAGACTCAGTGGTCAGGGTGTAGAGGCTTGACCCCGGCCGACGCGAGAACGTGGCCAGGTGCCGGCCTGTGCGTGCGTCCGTGCAGTGGGTCACCCGCTGACTCGCAGGAGTGAACTGGTGAACCCCCGCATCCTGCAGGTCCGCACCACTCACCAAGTTCGTCGAGAACGAGGGAAGGTACAGACCAGACAGGGTGCCCGAGGGGGCAGCCGGACGCGGGAGGACAGTGGAAAAGTGAGAGAGGACAGGACCCCCAGAGGGGTCAGCCAGGGAGACCGCAACCGGCCGGCCGAGCGGCGTGAGTGTGGTGCGGTCCCGAAAGAAGGAGCGAGAAGCCCCAGAGTCAAGTGTAAAGGTGAGGGAGGCCGAAGCCGACGTGGTACCTGAGAGCGCAGCCTCACCATTACCTTAGAGCGCAGCCTCACTAGTACCTAAAAGCGCAGCCTCACCAGCACCTGAGAGCGCAGCAGTGTCACAGGCACCTAGCGCAGCAGTACCAATGCCCGGGTCGGGCGGGAAACACCGGTAACAGTCACCCTCATCACTAATAGACACAGCATACATGGCAGCAAGGATAGCATCAAAGTCTAGCTCAAAGATCGCTACACCGGCCCTAGAAAGGTCTCCCCAGCGGGGGATCTCAGAGGCGTCAGGGAACTGCTGACGCCAAGCGTCCGTTAGGCGGCCAAAGCAGCGCCGGGTGGCGTGGGCACCCCCACACTGCTCACTTGCGCGGTCGCCACTGCGAAGAACGTAGGTGCACGGGCCAAAACCTCCACCACGCTGACTCTGCGCGTACCACTCACGGAGCTGCTGAGGCGGGGGGATGTCCCGAGAGCGCTGCTGCTGCTGCCGCGGACCACCACCAGAGCCGCTCCGCTGCGGAGCACTACCCCGACCAGCTCCACCGCCTCCACCACCACCGCCTCCACCGCGCCACCACCACCGCCTCCGCCCCCACCGCCTCCGCCGCCACCGCCTCCTCCGCCGCTGCGGCCTCCACCTCCACCACTCCCGCCACCACTCCCACCGCCACCCCCACTCCCTCCGCCGCCTCCACCTCCACCTCCTCCGCCCCCGCCAGCTCCACCCGCGCCCTTGCCCCCCTTGCCCTTGCCAGTGCGGCGTCGCCCGCTAGGGGCAGACGCCGCGCCGACCGACTCAAGACCAAGCAGGTCGGCAGCAGCAGCAGAGGCAACAGAGGGCAGCAGGGGGGAGGGAGAACACCCCTCAAAGATGGGGGTGCGCGGGTCACCACGAGAGGCTCCTACAGCGACTATGCTCTTCTCCGCCGCTAGGAGGGCCTTCTCGAGGAGGTCGACAGTGAGGGTGGTGGGACAGACTGAGAGGAAGTGGTCCCTGACTACGCGAAGGGAGTCAGGGAGACGAGTGACTATGTAATAGAGAGCGATGTACATGGGGGGGGGGGTTCTTGGCGCAGAACTCAGCAGGAAGGGCAGCGCGGTAGCGGGTGTCACTAGTGCGTAGGTGCGTAATGAGGTCAGCGACAGTGGGAAAGGCAGTGAGATCAGGAAAGAGGTACGGTAGCATGAGACGGCTCAGTGCAGCAGTGGCAGGGGAAGAGTAGCGCGCAACTACAGCGTCGTACAAGGTCTGAGCACTCTTGTACTGACTAAAGTGCGCGCGCTCAGTGGTGGGCAAGTGGCGACGCACAGCAAGACGTGCAGCAGCATCGCGGGTGGCCCACTGAGAGCGAACAGTGGGGTCAGCATCAGCAGCAGGAGCAGGAGAGGCGCCAGAGGTGAGGTCAAAGAGAGAAAGACCGTCCGCCCTATCGCACTGTAAAAACAACTGCAGGTCGTCGACCCAGACCTCAAAGTCAATGGCTCTGCCCTCAGCGTCAAAAGCTAGGACACTAGGGGTAGCCATGACGACAGACTAGCAGTGCAAGCAGTGGGGAAGGGCACGCAGTAGCAGCAGGGCAGTGCTGTGCTCACCAGACAGGGCAGGTCGAGCGGCCCGGTAGCAGGGCGAATCGACGGCTGCAGGACGGCTCGGCTGCTGCGGGGCGGCTAGGCTGCGGCTGGGCGGCTCGGCGGCTCCTGGGCGGCTCGGCTGCTCCCGGGCGGCTCGGCTGCTGCTGGGCGGCTCGGCGGCTCCGGGCGGCTCGGCTGCTGCTGGGCTGCTCGGCGGCTCTGGGCAGCTCGGCTGCTGCTGGGCGGCTCGGGTGATGCTGGGCGGCTCGGCTGCGGCGGGGCGGCTCGGCTGCTGCTGGGCGGCTCGGCCAGTGCTGGGGCCGCGTAGGTAGGGCGGGTGGGCTGCGAAGGTAGGGCGGCGAATGGGCCGCAGGTAGGGCGGCGGGTGGGCCGCAGGTAGGGCGGCGGGTGGGCCGCAGGTAGGGTGGCGGGATGGCCGCAGGTAGGGCGGCTGGCAGGCCGCAGGTAGGGCGGCGTAGAGCCGCAGGTAGGGCGGCTCGCGGGCCGCAGGACGGGCGGCGGGTGGGCCGCGAAGGTAGGGCGGCGGGTGGGCCGCGAAGGTAGGGCGGCGGGTGGCCGCAACTAGGGCGGCGGTATGGCCGCAGGTAGGGCGGCTGGTGGGCCGCAGGAAGGGCGGCGTAGGGCCGCAGGTAGGGCGGCTCGCGGGCCGCAGGTAGGGCGGCGGGTGGGCCACGACGGAGTGGCGGGGCCGCTCGAAGGGGTGGCGGGGCCGCGACAGGGTGGCGGGGCCGCTCGAAGGGGTAGCGGGGCCGCGACAGGGTGGCGGGGCCGCGATGGGGCGACGGGGCCGCGACGGAGTGGCGGGGCCGCGATCAAGGGGCGGCGGGGCCGCGATCAAAGGGGCGGCGGGCCGCGAGGTAAGGGCGGCGGGGCCGCAAGAGTGAAGGGCGGTGAAGCCGCAAGAGTGAAAGGGCGGCAGGGCCGCGATCGAAGGGTCAGCCGCTAGGGCGGCTCGGTGAGAGAGAGGCCCGAGGCGCGACTCGGAACGAGTGCGCTTCGGGCAGGAAAAAAAAAATCCAGTGGTGGGCCCTAAGCGAAGTTCCCACAGGGGAACCTGCTCTATACCATATGAAGTTGAAAGAACAGGAATGAATGAACTATGAAATGTGTGAGTACAAGTACCAACCCTAATTGGGTTGTACCCCCTATGGGATACCCCACTATAGCCTACACAAAAGTATAAGCTATAAGTTGGACATGGACGTGGACGTCGACGTAAACGTGGACGTGGACATGGACGTGGACGTGGACGTGGACGTGGACGTGGACGTGGACGTGGACGCGGACGCGGACGCGGACGCGGACGCGGACGCGGACGTGGACGCGGACGTGGACGCGGACGTGGACGTGGACGCGGACGCGGACGTGGACGTGGACGCGGACGGGACGGGGACGTGGACGCGGACGCAGACGTGGAGGTGGACCTGGACGTGGACGGGACATGGACCTGGACTGGACGTGGACGTTGACGTGGACGTGGACGTGGACGTGGACGTGGACGTGGACGTTGACGTGGACGTGGACGTGGACGTGGACGTGGACGTGGACGTCGACGTGGACGTCGACGTGGACGTGGACGTGGACGTGGACGTGGACGTGGACGTGGTCGTTGACGTGGACGTTGACGTTGACGTGGACGTGGACGTGGACGTTGACGTTGACGTGGACGTTGACGTGGACGTGGACATGGACGTGGACGTGGACGTGGACGTTGACCTGGACGTGGACCTGGACGTGGACGTGGACGTGGACGTGGACGTGGACATGGACGTGGACGTGGACGTGGACGTGGACGTGGACTTGGACGTGGACATGGACGTGGACTTGGACGTGGACGTGGACTTGAACATAGACTTGGACGTGGACGTGGACGTGGACGTGGACGTGGACGTGGACGTGGACCTGGACGTGGACGTGGACGTGGTCGTGGACGTGGACGTGGACGTGGTCGTGGACGTGGACGTGGACGTGGACGTGGACGTGGACGTGGACGTGGACGTGGACGTGGACGTGGACGTGGACCTGGACTTGGACGTGGACGTGGACGTGGACGTGGACCTGGACGTGGACAACGTGGACGTGGACGTGGTCGTGGACATGGACTTGGACGTGGACGTGGACGTGGTCGTGGACGTGGACGTGGACGTGGACGTGGACGTGGTCGTGGACGTGGTCGTGGACGTGGTCGTGGACGTGGACATGGAGGTGGACGTGGACGTGGACATGGAGGTGGACGTGGACGTGGACGTGGACATGGACGTGGACGTGGACGTGGACGTGGACATGGACGTGGACGTGGACGTAGATGTGGACGTGGACGTGGACGTGGACATGGACATGGACATGGATGTGGACGTGGACATGGACATGGACATGGATGTGGACGTGGACGTGGATGTGGTCGTGGACAAGGCAAGCTCCTAGACCTGGCAAGCTCGTGGAACATGCAAGCTCCTGGACCAGGCAAGCTCCTGGACCAGGCACGCTCCTGGACAAGGCAAGCTCTTAGACCAGGCAAGCTCCTGGACCAGGCAAGCTCCTGGATCAGGCAAGCTCCCGGACCAGGCAAGCTCCTGGACCAGGCAAGCTCGTGGACTAGGCAAGCTCCTGGACCAGGCAAGCTCCTGGACCAGGCAAGCTCCTGGACCAGGCAAGCTCCTGGACCAAGAAAGCTCCTGGACCAGGCAAGCTTGTGGACCGGGCATGCTCCTCGACTAGGCAAGCTCCTGGACCAGGCAAGCTCTTGGACCATGCAAGTTCTCGGACCAGGCACGCTCCTAGACCAGGCAAGCTCTTGGACCAGGCAGGCTTCTAAACCAAGCAAGCTCCTGGACCAGGCAAGCTCTTGGACCAAGCAGGCTTCTGGACCAGGCAAGCTCTTGGACCAAGCAGGCTTCTGGACCAAGCAAGCTCCTGGACCAGGCAAGCTCCTGGACCAGGGAAGCTCCTTGATCAGGTAAGCTCCTGGACTAGACAAGCTCCTAGACCAGGCAAGCTCGTGGACCGAGCATTCTCCTGGACCAAGCAAGCTCGTGGACCAGGCAAGCTCTTGGACCACGCAAGTTCTTGGACCAGGCACGTTCCTGGACCAGGCAAGCTCTTGGACCAGGCAGGCTTCTGGACCAAGCAAGCTCCTGGACCAGGCAAGCTCCTGGAACAGGCAAGCTCTTGGACCAGGCAAGCTCCTGGACCAGGCAAACTCGTGGACCAGGCATGCTCCTGGACCAGGCAAGCTCCTGGACCAAGCAAGCTCCTGGACTACGCAAGCTCTTGGACCAAGCACGCTCCTGGACCAGGCAAGCTCTTAGACATGGCAGGCTTCTGGACCAAGCAAGCTCCTGGACCAGGCAAGCTCCTGGACCAGGCAAGCTCCTGGACCAGGCAAGCTCCTGGACTAGGCAAGCTCCTAGACCAGGCAAGCTCCTGGACTAGGCAAGCTCCTAGATCAGGCAAGCTCCTGGACCAGGCACGCTCCCTGACCAGGCAAGCTCCTAGACCAGGCAAGCTCCTAATCCAGGCAAACTCGTGGACCAAGCACGCTCCTGGACCAGGCAAGCTCCTCGACCAGGCAAGCTCTTAGACCACGCAAGCTCTTGGACCAGGCAAGCTTCTCGACCAAGCAAGCTTCTGGACCAGGCAAGCTCCTGAACTAGGCAAGCTCCTGGACCAGGCAAGCTCTTAGACAAGGCACGCTCCTGGACCAGGCAAGGTCTTGGAACAGGCAGGCTTCTGGACCAAGCAAGGTCTTGGAACAGGCACGCTCCTGGACTAGGCAAGCTCCTGGACCAGGCACACTCTTAGACCAGGCACGCTCCTGGACAAGGCAAGCTCCTAGACCAGGCAAGCTCTTGGAACATGCAAGCTCCTGGACTAGGCAAGCTCCTGGACGAGGCACGCTCCTGGACCAGGCAAGCTCCTGGACGAGGCACGCTCCTGGACCAGGCAAGCTCCTGGACCAGGCAAGCTCCTGGACCAGGCAAGCTCCTGTACCAGGCAAGCTCCTGGACCAGGCAAGCTCCTGGACCAGGCAAGCTCCTGGACCAGGCAAGCTCGTGGACCAGGCAAGCTCCTGGACCAGGCAAGCTCCTGGACCAGGCAAGCTCTTGGACCAAGAAAGCTCCTGGACCCGGCAAGCTCGTGGACCGGGCATGCTCATGGACCAGGCAAGCTCCTGGACCAGGCAAGCTCCTGGACCACCCAAGTTCTTGGACTAGGCACGCTCCTGGACCAGGCAAGCTCTTGGACCAGGCAGGCTTCTGGACGAAGCAAGCTCCTGGACCAGGCAAGCTCCTGGACCACGCAAGCTCCTGACAAGGCAAGCTCCTAGACTAGGCAAGCTCCTGGACCAGGCAAGCTCCTGGACCACGCAAGCTCCTGGACGAGGCAAGCTCGTGGACCAGGCATGCTCCTGGACCAGGCAAGCTCCTGGACCAAGCAAGCTCCTGGACTACGCAAGCTCTTGGACCAAGCACGCTCCTGGACCAGGCAAGCTCTTGGACCAGGCAGGCTTCTGAACCAAGCAAGCTCCTGGACCAGGCAAGCTCCTGGACCAGGCAAGCTCCTGGACCAGGCAAGCTCCTGGACCAGGCACGCTCTTGGACAAGGCAAGCTCCTGGACCAGGCAAGCTTCTGGACCAGGCAAGCTCCTAGACCAGGCAAGCTCCTGGACCACGCATGCTCTTGAACTAGGAAAGCTCCTGAACCAGGCAAGCTAACGGACCAAGAAAGCTCCTGGACAAGGCAAGCTCCAGGACCAGGCAAGCTCTAGGACCAGGCAAGCTCCTAGACCAAGCAAGCTCCTAAACCAGGCAAACTCGTGGACCAAGCATGCTCTTGGACCAGGCAAGCTTCGGACCAGGCAAGCTCCTAGACGATGCAAGCTCTTGGACCAGGCAGGCTTGTGGACCAAGCAAGCTTCTGGACCAGGCAAGGTCTTGGACCAGGCAAGCTCCTGGACTAGGCAAGCTCCTGGACCAAGCAAGCTCTTGGACGTGGACGTGGACATGGACATGGACGTGGACGTGGACGTGGACGTGGACGTGGACATGGACGTGGACGTGGACATGGACATGGACGTGGACGTGGACGTGGACGTGGTCGTGGACCTGGACTTGGACGTGGACGTGGACGTGGACGTGGTCGTGGACGTAGACGTGGACGTGGACGAAGACGTGGACGTGGACGTGGTCGTGGACGTGGACGTGGACGTGGACGTGGACATGGACGTGGACGTGGACGTGGACATGGACGTGGACGTGGACGTAGACGTGGACGTGGTCGTGGACGTGGACGTGGACGTGGACGTGGACCTGAACGTGGACGTGGACCTGAACGTGGACGTGGATGTGGACGTGGACGTGGACGTGGACCTGGACGTGGACGTGGACGTGGACGTAGACGTGGACGTGAACATGGACGTGAACGTGGACGTGGACTGGACGTGGACGTGGACGTGGACGTGGACATGGACGTGGACGTGGACGTGGACGTGGACGTGGACGTGGACATGGACGTGGACGTTGACGTGGACGTGGACGTGGACGTGGACGTGGACGTGGACGTGTACGTGGACGTGGACGTGGACGTGGACGTGGACGTGGACGTGGACGTGGACGTGGACATGGACGTGGACGTGGACCTGGACGTGGACCTGGACGTGGACGTCGACGTGGACGTGGACGTGGACGTGGACGTGGACGTGGACGTGGACGTGGACGTGGACCTGGACTTGGACGTGGACTTGGACGTGGACGTGGACGTGGACGTGGACGTGGTCGTGGACCTGGACTTGGACGTGGACGTGGACGTGGACGTAGACGTGGACATGGACGAAGACATGGACGTGGTCGTGGACGTAGACGTGGACCTGGACAAAGACGTGGACGTGGTCGTGGACGTGGACGTGGACGTGGACGTGGACGTGGACGTGGACGTGGACGTAGACGTGGACGTGGACGTGGACGTGGACGTGGACGTGGTCGTGGACGTGGACGTGGACGTCGACGTGGACGTGGACCTGAACGTGGACGTGGACCTGGACGTGGACGTGGACGTGGACCTGGACGTGGACCTGGACGTGGACGTGGACGTGGACGTGGACGTGGACCTGGACGTGGACAACGTGGACGTGGACGTGGTCGTGGACCTGGACTTGGACGTGGACGTGGTCGTGGACGTAGACGTGGACGTGGACATGGACATGGACGTGGACGTGGACATGGACGTGGACGTGGACGTGGACGTGGACGTGGTCGTGGACGTGGACGTGGACATGGACGTGGACGTGGACGTGGACGTGGTCGTGGACGTGGTCGTCGACGTGGACGTGGACGTGGACGTGGACGTGGTCGCGGTCGTGGACGTGGACGTGGACGTGGACGCGGTCGTGGACGTGGACGTGGACGTGGACGCGGACGTGGACATGGACGCGGACGTGGACGTGGACGTGGACGTGGACATGGACATGGACGTGGTCGTGGACGTGGACGTGGACGTGAACCTGGACGTGGACGTGGACGTGGACGTGGACGTGAACGTGAACATCAATGTGGACGTGGACATGGACGTGTGGACATGGACGTGGACATGGACGTGGACGTGGACGTGAACGTAGACGTGGACGTGGACGTGGACGTGGACGTGGACGTGGACGTGGACCTGGACCTGGACGTGGACGTGGACGTGGAGGTGGACGTGGTCGTGGACATGGTCGTGGACGTGGACGTGGTCGTGGACGTAGACGTGGACGTGGACATGGACGTGGACGTGGACGTGGACGTGGACGTGGACATGGACGTGGACGTGGACGTGGACGTGGACGTGGACGTGGATGTGGACGTGGACGTGGACGTGGACATGGACATGGACATTGATGTGGACGTGGACGTGGATGTGGTCGTGGACAAGGCAAGCTCCTAGACCTGGCAAGCTCGTGGAACATGCAAGCTCCTGGACCAGGCAAGCTCCTGGACCAGGCACGCTCCTGGACCAGGCAAGCTCTTGGACCAGACAAGCTCCTGGACCAGGCAAGCTCCTGGATCAGGCAAGCTCCCGGACCAGGCAAGCTCGTGGACTAGGCAAGCTCTTGGACCAGGCAAGCTCCTGGACTAGGCAAGCTCCTGGACCTGGCAAGCTCCTGGACCAAGAAAGCTCCTGGACCAGGCAAGCTCGTGGACCGGGCATGCTCCTGGACTAGGCAAGCTCCTGGACCCGGCAAGCTCTTGGACCATGCAAGTTCTCGGACCAGGCACGCTCCTAGACCAGGCAAGCTCTTGGACCAGGCAGGCTTCTGGACCAAGCAAGCTCCTGGACCAGGCAAGCTCTTGGACCAAGCAGGCTTCTGGACCAGGCAAGCTCTTGGACCAAGCAGGCTTCTGGACCAAGCAAGCTCCTGGACCAGGCAAGCTCCTGGACCAGGGAAGCTCCTTGATCAGGTAAGCTCCTGGACTAGACAAGCTCCTAGACCAGGCAAGCTCGTGGACCAGGCATTCTCCTGGACCAAGCAAGCTCGTGGACCAGGCAAGCTCTTGGACCACGCAAGTTCTTGGACCAAGCACGCTCCTGGACCAGGCAAGCTCTTGGACCAGGCAGGCTTCTGGACCAAGCAAGCTCCTGGACCAGGCAAGCTCCTGGACCAGGCAAGCTCTTGGACCAGGCAAGCTCCTGGACCAGGCAAACTCGTGGACCAGGCATGCTCCTGGACCAGGCAAGCTCCTGGACCAAGCAAGCTCCTGGACTACGCAAGCTCTTGGACCAAGCATGCTCCTGGACCAGGCAAGCTCTTAGACGAGGCAGGCTTCTGGACCAAGCAAGCACCTGGACCAGGCAAGCTCCTGGACCAGGCAAGCTCCTGGACCAGGCAAGCTCCTGGACTAGGCAAGCTCCTAGACCAGGCAAGCTCCTGGACTAGGCAAGCTCCTAGACCAGGCAAGCTCCTGGACCAGGCACGCTCCCTGACCAGGCAAGCTCCTAGACCAGGCAAGCTCCTAATCCAGGCAAACTCGTGGACCAAGCACGCTCCTTGACCAGGCAAGCTCCTCGACCACGCAAGCTCTTAGACCACGCAAGCTCTTGGACCAGGCAGGCTTCTCGACCAAGCAAGCTTCTGGACCAGGCAATCTCCTGGACTAGGCAAGCTCCTGGACCAGGCAAGCTCTTGGACAAGGCACGCTCCTGGACCAGGCAAGGTCTTGGAACAGGCAGGCTTCTGGACCAAGCAAGGTCTTGGAACAGGCACGCTCCTGGACTAGGCAAGCTCCTGGACCAGGCACACTTTTAGACCAGGCACGCTCCTAGACAAGGCAAGCTCCTAGACCAGGCGAGCTCTTGGAACATGCAAGCTCCTGGACAAGGCAAGCTCCTGGACGAGGCACGCTCCTGGACCAGGCAAGCTCCTGGACCAGGCAAGCTACTGGACCAGGCAAGCTCCTGTACCAGGCAAGCTCCTGGACCAGGCAAGCTCCTGGACCAGGCAAGCTCGTGGACCAGGCAAGCTCCTGGACCAGGCAAGCTCCTGGACCAGGCAAGCTCCTGGACCAGGCAAGCTCTTGGACCAAGAAATCTCCTGGACCCTGCAAGCTCGTGGACCGGGCATGCTCCTGGACCAGGCAAGCTCATGGACCAGGCAAGCTCCTGTACCACCCAAGTTCTTCGACTAGGCACGCTCCTGGACCAGGCAAGCTCTTGCACCAGGCAGGCTTCTGGACGAAGCAAGCTCCTGGACCAGGCAAGCTCCTGGACCACGCAAGCTCCTGACAAGGCAAGCTCCTAGACTAGGCAAGCTCCTGGACCAGGCAAGCTCCTGGACCACGCAAGCTCCTGGACGAGGCAAGCTCGTGGACCAGGCATGCTCCTGGACCAGGCAAGCTCCTGGACCAAGCAAGCTCCTGGACTACGCAAGCTCTTGGACCAAGCACGCTCCTGGACCAGGCAAGCTCTTGGACCAGGCAGGCTTCTGGACCAATCAAGCTCCTAGACCAGGCAAGCTCCTGGACCAGGCAAGCTCCTGGACCAGGCAAGCTCCTGGACCAGGCACGCTCTTGGACAAGGCAAGCTCCTGGACCAGGCAAGCTTCTGGACCAGGCAAGCTCCTGGACCAGGCAAGCTCCTGGACCACGCATGCTCTTGAACTAGGAAAGCTCCTGAACCAGGCAAGCTAACGGACCAAGAAAGCTCCTGGACAAGGCAAGCTCCAGGACCAGGCAAGCTCCAGGACCAGGCAAGCTCCTAGACCAGGCAAGCTCCTGGACCAAGCAAGCTCCTAAACCAGGCAAACTCGTGGACCAAGCATGCTCTTGTACCAGGCAAGCTTCGAACCAGGCAAGCTCCTAGACCACGCAAGCTCTTGGACCAGGCAGGCTTGTGGACCAAGCAAGCTTCTGGACCAGGCAAGGTCTTGGACCAGGCAAGCTCCTGGACTAGGCAAGCTCCTGGACCAAGCAAGCTCTTGGACAAGGCACGCTCCTGGACCAGGCAAGGTCTTGGAACAGGCAGGCTTCTGGACCAAGCAAGGTCCTGGACCAGGCACACTCCTGGACAAAGCACGCTCCTGGACAAGGCAAGCTCCTAGACCAGGCAAGCTCTTGGAACGTGCAAGCTCCTGGACCACGCAAGCTCCTGGAGGAGGCACGCTCCTTGACCAGGCAAGCTCTTGGACCAGGCAAGCTCCTGGACTAGGCACACTCCCTGACCAAGCAAGCTCCTGGACGAGGCAAGCTTGTGGACCAGGCAAGCTCCTCGACCAGGCAAGCTTCTAGACTAGGCAAGCTTTTGGACCAGGCAAGCTCTTTGACCCGGCAAGCTCCTTGACGAGGCAAGCTAACGGACCAAGAAAGCTCCTGGACAAGGCAAGCTCCAGGACCAGGCAAGCTCCTGGACCAGCCAAGCTCCTAGACCAGGCACGCTCCCTGACCAGGCAAGCTCCTAGACCAGGCAAGCTCCTGGACCAAGCAAGCTCCTAAACCAGGCAAACTCGTGGACCAAGCACGCTCTTGGACCAGGCAAGCTCCTGGACCAGGCAAGCTCCTAGACCACGCAAGCTCTTGGACCAGGCAGGCTTGTGGACCAAGCAAGCTTCTGGACCAGGCAAGGTCCTGGACCAGGCAAGCTCCTGGTATAGGCAAGCTCCTGGACCAGGCAAGCTCTTGGACAAGGCACGCTCCTGGACCAGGAAAGGTCTTGGAACAGGGAGGCTTCTGGACCAAGCAAGGTCCTAGACCAGGCACACTCCTAAACCAGGCACGCTCCTGGACAAAGCAAGCTCCTAGACCAGGCAAGCTCCTGGACCACGCAAGCTCCTGGACGAGGCACGCTGGTGGACCAGGTAAGCTCCTGGACCACGCAAGCTCCTGGACCAGGCAAGCTCCTGGACGAGGCAAGCTCCTAGACCAGGCAAGCTCCTGGACGAGGCAAGCTCGTGGACCAGGCAAGCTCCTTGACTAGGCAAGCTTCTGGACCAGGCAAGCTTTTGGACCAGGCAAGCTCTTGGACCAGGCAAGCTCCTGGACCAGGCAAGCTCGTGGACCGAGCATGCTCTTGGACCAGGCAAGCTCCTAAACCAGGCAAGCTCCTGGACCACGCAAGTTCTGGGACCAGGCACGCTCCTAGACCAGGCAAGCTCTTGGACCAGGCAGGCTTCTGGACGAAGCAAGCTCGTAGACCACGCAAGTTCTGGGACCAGGCAAGCTCGTAGACCACGCAAGCTCCTCGACGAGGCAAGCTCGTGGACCAGGCATGCTCCTGGACCAGGCAAGCTCCTGGACCAAGCAAGCTCCTGGACTACGCAAGCTCTTGGACCAAGCACGCTCCTGGACCAGGCAAGCTCTTGGACCAGGCAGGCTTCTGGACCAAGCAAGCTCCTGGACCAGGCAAGCTCCTGGACCAGGCAAGCTCCTGGACCAGGCAAGCTCCTGGACCAGGCACGCTCTTGGACAAGGCAAGCTCCTAGACTAGGCAAGCTCCTGGACCAGGCAAGCTCCTGGACCAGGCAAGCTCCTGGACCAGGCATGCTCTTGAACCAGGAAAGCTCCTGAACCAGGCAAGCTAACGGACCAAGAAAGCTCCTGGACAAGGGAAGCTCCAGGACCAGGCAAGCTCCTGGACCAGGCAAGCTCCTGGACCAGGCAAGCTCCTAGACCAGGCACGCTCCCTGACTAGGCAAGCTCCTAGACCAGGCAAGCTCCTGGACCAAGCAAGCTCCTAAACTAGGCAAACTCGTGGACCAAGCACGCTCTTGTAACAGGCAAGCTCCTGGACCAGGCAAGCTCCTAGACCACGCAAGCTCTTGGACCAGGCAGGCTTGTGGACCAAGGAAGCTTCTGGACCAGGCAAGGTCCTGGACCAGGCAAGCTCCTGGACTAGGCAAGCTCCTGGACCAGGCAAGCTCTTGGACAAGGCACGCTCCTGGACCAGGCAAGGTCTTGGAACAGGAAGGCTTCTGGACCAAGCAAGGTACTGGACCAGGCACACTCCTGGACCAAGCACACTCCTGGAAAAGGCAAGCTCCTAGACCAGGCAAGCTCCTGGAACATGCAAGCTCCTGGACCACGCAAGCTCCTGGAGGAGGCACGCTCCTTGACCAGGCAAGCTCCTGGACCAGGCAAGCTCCTGGACCAGGCACGCTCCCTGACCAAGCAAGCTCCTGGACGAGGCAAGCTCGTGGACCAGGCAAGCTCCTCGACCAGGCAAGCTTCTGGACCAGGCAAGCTTTTGGACCAGGCAAGCTCCTTGACCAGGCAAGCTCATTGACCAGGCAAGCTCCTAGACCACGCAAGCTCTGGGACCAGGCAGGCTTGTGGACCAAGGAAGCTTGTGGACCAGGCAAGGTCCTGGACCAGGCAAGCTCCTGGACTAGGCAAGCTCCTGGACCAGGCAAGCTCTTGGACAAGGCACACTCCTAGACCAGGCAAGATATTAGAACA